AGGAATATATAATTAGGCATATGTATGACAACAATTTGGAACAAAGGGTGCAATGCAGGATGGGCTGGGGATAGGGGAAAGAAAATGTGCAACAAAGAATGGGGGACAAAAGGAAACTTTAGGTAGAAATATGAAGGTTAAAATAAGAAGAACCAGTGTATTATTACAGAAGTTTGACATACTATATCCATAAATATAGGGAATAAAGCTTGTGCTTTGTTTGGGTGTTTGGTTTTTTTTTAAAAAAAAAAAAAGGAATACACTAATACACTCAAGTATTTCCTAGGCTACATCTCTTTTCCTTTAAAAAGTTAAACTTTAAAAAAAAAGTTAAACTTCAAATGTGGCAATGTTATTATTCTGAATAATCATTTCATGGACCATCTCTATATTCTTAAGGAACATGCCTAACTTCTTATTGGGAATGCATTCCATAAAAATAACCTATTAATTATTCTAGAACAAACTTTGGTAAATACCTGTGCTGAGACCAAAGTAAAAATGCTTGACCTAAAGTTTGCATGCATTGGTAATTTATTTGTTTGGCAAAGGGACACACACCAAAAAAAACTAACAATATCTAACCATCAATTTTTCACTGTGATTAGTTTTTAACTTCTAGAAGTCTGTTATTCATCTGAGTAAATGGGGGGAGAGGAGAAGAATAAACAAAAAACAAAACAAAACACACAACCAAGCAAACAAACCCACAGATGTGGGTGTGGACTGTCAGGATATAAATCTTTATACGAGAAACCTTCTCAGAAAGAACTTGGATTCAAATGTCTATCATTTTGCTGAGCAGGCCAGCACAGGCCCAACACAACACAAAGCACTAGAAGACCAGCAATACTCAGAAAAACTCTTTCAGGCCCTATCAATCAGATGAAAATGTTTGTTATCTATAATCTTTATAAAGGCAGTAAAGAGGACTAAGATGAAGGAAAACTTTGGTGGGTGGTTTTCCCATACTATATATATTCTTGATTTCTTTATAAACTATAATAAATCGTATTTAACTCATTCAAAGTTCAACTCCATGATTAGAAACAGTAAAAATTAACTATTTTCATCAACTCTAATGTAATAAAACATATGTCTATGAATGAATGAAAACCAATATGATTTATGATCTTTCATTCAAATTTTAAATATCTCAGGAAGACAAAAAGCAAAGTATTATAATAAAACGTATTAAGAGCTGGAGTCGAAAAATAAAAAGGGCCAAACTCACTCAGCATTCCTTAAGGTGATAAAACTAAAGAACAAATTCAAGCCTTGAGTGGCAATATTTAAGGATGTTATAGACAGAATACTAAATGACCCAAGAAGCATCAAAGAAGACAGAAGGCATACACAGTCACTGTAGCAAAAAGAACTGGCTGACATAGAAGAAATTCAAGAAACTACAATGAAAAGGCAATAGTGATAAAGGAGGAAGTTCAAATTGCTCTGAAGAAATTGACAAGAAACAAGGCCTCAAGAACTGACAAAATACCAACTAATACATTTCAATAAACATGCTGCCCTGAATGTGCTCACCAGATTGTGCCAAGAAATCTGGAGGACAATTATCTGGCCAACTGACTAGAGGTGTACCATATTTAATCCCATTCCAAAAAAACAGTAACCCAACAGAGTGTGGAAATTATTAAAAAATGTCACTGATATTATATGCAAGCAAAATCCTGCTGAAGATTATCCAAAAATGACTGGAATGGTACATTGACACAGAACTACCAAAAATACAAGCTGGATTTAGAAGAGGCCATGACATTAAAGACATTACAGCCAAAGTCAGATATATCTTGGCTGAAAGCTAAGAGTACTAGAGGAATGTACAAAGGCATCAGATGGTGTAGATCACAACAAAGTGTGGCTAACCTTGAGAATAATGGGAATCCCTGACCACTTAAATGCACTCGTGCAAAACCTATACTTGGACCAGGAGGCAGCTGTCCAAACAGAGCAAGGAAACACTACCTGGTTCAAAATTAGGAAAGGAGTGCATCAGGGACACATCCTTTCTCTGTACTTTTTCAATAGCAACAGATCATTCATGAGGCTAGATTTTATGAGGAGAGTAGCTTTAGGATTGGAGGAAGATTCATCAGCAATTTCCATAATGCCGATGACACAACTATGCTTGTCAAAACTGAGGAGGACCTGTAGTGTCTGCTGCAGAAAGTCAAGGACTGTAGTCTTCAATATGGACTGAAGCTTAACATCAAGAAAACAAAGATTTTTACATGGGGCCAACAGGAAGCACTATAATGGATGAAAAAGAAATTGAGGTTGTTAACAATTTCAACTTGCTTGGCTCCATAATCAACAATATTTTTGGCATCAGCAGTTAGGAAATCAAAAGACAAACTGCATTGGGGAAGTCTGCTGTCCGGGACCTCTCCAGAGTGCTGAAGAGCAAAGATGTCAGTCTAGGGACTAAGGTGTGCCTGATCTAGGCTATGGTCTTCACAATTACATGCTATGCATCAGAGAACGAGATGACAACTAAGGATGACAGAAGAAGATCTGATGTCTTTTGAGTTGTGGTGCTGGAGAAGCGTACTGGACATACCATCGACTGCCAAGAGAGCAAACTGGTCTGCTTAGGAGAGAATGAAACCAAGTTTCTCCTTGGAGACAAGGATTTTAAAGCTCCACCTCACTTATTTTGGGCATGTGGACAGGAGGACTCAGTCCTTTGAGAAGGACATCATGCTTGGAAGGGTGGAGGAACAGTGCAGGAGAGGAAGACTTCGGAGAAGATGGATTGACACAGTAACTGGAGTAATGAGGATAGGTGTGCGGAGACAGTGAAGTTGGCTCTCGACAGGGCAAAGTTAGAGCTATTATGGTACAGGGTCACTATGAGTCGCAGGCAACAAAACAACATATACATAGATATAATTTTCAAATGCTGGTTTATAGTCAATCAGAGCCTAAAAATCATTCCAGGAACTGAAAAACAGGTTCTTATTTGAATCTCCCCAAACTCTTCAAAGACATCATTTGATTCCCTTGAGACAGGCATAGCTCTAAAACAGGCATCACTATTTTCATTTTACAGAGTAAGAAGTAGAAGCCAGAGGTTTAGAGACTTAGGTACGATTACAACCTAGCAATTGCAGCCCAGTACTATAGTACAGCCTGAGAAAAAAATCCACACTTGACAGTCCCACGTGTAGATTTAAGATTGCTGGCCTTTTAACAGTGATTTCAGCAGTGTAGGGATAATCTAGGCAGTTTTCCAAATGGCTCAAGTTGCTCAAGGTCTGACATTCAAATCAAACTCCCTATGAGCTTTCATTTGTTATTAAATATCATGCCATAATTAACACTGGCATGAAAACTGGACTCTCTTAACACACACGTATGTTTGTATAATATACACAAAAACTATACAAAATTGTTAATCTGACCTTTAAAGTTTGAAAACAGATAATGAACAGTTTCATGTCAGCTATGAGGAACATATCCTATTTTAGCTTATATCAACTAAATAAAACAATAGGTTATCATTAAAATTCTAAGAAGCTCAGAATGACACACTGTTTAGAATAATACATTTTATAAGGTACAAGAGAATGTTACTACTCTATTCCATGAATGTGTTAATCAATAAATTGATAAAAGAAAAGCCTAAAAAAGTAAAATAATGCTTTAGTGTTTGGGTTGGGTTTCTTAAAAAACCCTTAGTTACGATCCTAGTCAGAACACACAAAATTGAATATTCTCATTTTCTTTTCGCTTTTAACATGATTCTATAAATTGTAATGAATGGAATTATCTTTCCCCACAAAACAAATGCTTCATTTCTTTAAAAAAAAACAAAACAACAAAACCCCTTTTTTAATTTTTTTTAAATTCTAGGAAAAACAGCAAACAAAAAGTTGTGGTTTAAAAAAACTTTAATAGTATGATGTAAGATTGGTTTTACCAAAGATAACAAATCTTTATTAAAAGCTCAGAACTTATTCTTGTAATTGCAATTATTCATCAATTTAATTTTTTTAACCATATAACCAATATGTAAAATACAAATTCAAATCCTACACAACTATTTCTTCCAAGAACTTGGGCCGTTTTAAATAAAATAGATACCAATTTGAAACAAAACATTTCATGGAATAAATGTCTTCATAAAGCCAGTTACCTAAAATAAAATGGACACTAGAAACCATGAACTGGAGACTATTAAGACTCCTTCTTTCCAGGTGTCTTAGAGCAAGAGGCTCTATGCCCATGTAAACACACAAAAATCTTCAATACCTGAAAATTATCTATATACTGTAGAAGTGAGCATTTTGCTATTTTGCAGCCTCTTCCCAACAGTCTACAACTTTCTCCCCTCAAAAAAGCCATATATATATATGTATCTCAAGGCTTGACATATACATACACACACAATAGGTAGTTTTTAAAAGGCAATGATTTCAAGTAAAAACATTGATATCTGATTGAAAATGGAAAATAATTTATTCAACTTTTGCTATGTCAGGACAATGAAGCAGCCCTTTTATGTGATCGATCAGTCATTAAAAGGCATTACACAACATTAACATAATGTAGTAGCCCAGGTTTTCTCTCAGGCATTTTCAAAGGGCATCTCAGTCCCACAATATCTCCTATTAACTGTGCAAGAACACAGAGCTACAAAATGACTATTAAGTCAAAATACTAATCGTCTCTTTTTATTTGAACATTAATTTTCCATGGTTTGGTGTTATTCTGAAATTAACATTCACAGGTAGGCAGTATATAATTGTTAGATTATCAGCGATCTTGGATTTAATAGCTACTATATCAAGCAATTGTTTTCTAATGAACACAACATGATTTCATAGCATTATGTAAAAGAAGGTGGCCTGAATTTTGCCCTCAAATGCACAAAAAGAATTTTTTTTCTACACCACCTCAAAGTCATCTTTGGCCTTGCTGAATAGTTATAGAGTTGTTACTTTACTGTGAAGCAAAATAAGCCTTCAAGTGTCCCTTACTTGATCTGAGCAGGTCAAATTCTCTGTCCAAGAGTTCCTCTTCTGTTAACTTGGAGAAATTATCTTCTCCGAAAGGATTCCACCCTGACATATCAGGTGGGTTACTGATGTTCTTCTGATTTGTAAAATTTGCAACTGCCTCTTTACCAGCAACTGTCCTAGAGTAATAATGAAGCGGGGGTGGGGTGGGGGGGGGTGGAGAGATGTATCAGAATTTGAAAAACCAGTGCTCTAGTTTATATTTAAAAAATCAGATCTTTTCATTTAATGAAGATGGAAGACAGCACCATTACATTTCAAGAGAGCCCATTTGGGATTTGAATTCTAACAATTTATACAACATCACCAGCCAAATTACCTTGGGCAAGTTCTCTATGCCTCAGTTTCATTTGAAAAATAATGGAAGCTAACAGTAGAAACACACTAAAGTTACTGAGATGATTATATGAACTAATAGATACAAAGGATAAGAAGAACAGAGTGAGGCACTTAGTAATCACTCAGTAAACAGATGTGGTGGCCAAGTGGATAAGGCAATGTGCTGCCAACCCAAACGCATGAAGTTTGAATCCACCAGCTGCTCACCAGGAGAAAGAGGGACTACCTCCTCCCTTGAGAGTTATAATGTCTAAAAACCCACTGGAGGGCCAGATAAGAGTTTGTTTCAACAATACCTAACAATGACAGGTATCATAAATGTCAAAGTTACTAAAGAGTAAGGTGATCTTATATATTATTCATGTTGTTGTGTGCTGTTGAGTCGGAACCCTCCATAGCTGACCCTCCCGCAGGTTTTCAGTGGCAGTTAATCGCATAGCAGGAGATTGCTCATCCTTCTGCCGCTGACCAGCTGGTGGCCTCAACTGCACGCCTATGGGGTTTCAGCACAGCTTCTAACCACTAGTCTAGCAGTTCTACTCTGGTGGCAGTTAGGTTGAGCCACCATAATAAGTTTCATTTTAACAATGCTATTCTTCCCCATATGTTGATGTGGGGTGCCACTGAGTAAACTCAAAGCAACCTAATGTAGAACAACAGATCAAAACCTGGCCCAATCCCGTGCTGTCCTCATAATCTCTGCTGTGGCTGCTTATGTAAACTTGAGTTAGAATCATCTCAGAGCTGATTCTGCAGCAGGTTTTCTGAGGCTATAAATCACACAAGAGGAAACCGTCCATCTTTCTGCCTCAGAGCAGCTGGTGGATTTGAACCACTTGCCTTTGGGTTGGCAGTGCAAATTCTTACCCCTATGCCACCTGCTCTATTGTGCATAGAGTTTTCACATACCATCAATTACCAAGAGAACAAATAGGTCTGTCCTGGAGAGGGTGAAACCACATTTCTCCTTGGAGGCTAGGATTCTGAAGCTTCATCTCACATACTTTGGGCACATGGTCCTTGGAGAAGGACATCATGCTCGGAAGGGTGGAGGGACAGCGCAGGAGAGGAAGACCCCAGGTGAGATGGACTGAAACAATAATTGATTGAGGGTACGGGTGTTGGAGTCAGTGAGACTGGTTCAGGACAGGGCAGGCTTCAGAGCTGCTGTACATAGGATCTCTATGAATCGCAGGTGATGTGATGGCACTAAACAACAACAGCAGGCCACCAGAACTCTGCTTTATGATGTTGTTGTTGTTGCATACCACTGAGTCAAAAGTGACTCACAGTTAACTCTCCAGTGGTTTTGCAGATGCAATAGAGATTTCCCATCTTCCTCCCAAGGAGCTAGTGGTCAATTTGAACCGCATGCCTTTAGGTTAGCAGTGCAGGCTCTTACCACTAAGTCACTAGATCTCCCTCTAGACAGGCAAATTCAAAGAAAGATGAGCATTTCTTCTTTTTGCCTGTCTATGAGCTCTCTGACTATCTATCTAGATCACCATCTTACCATTCCTGGGATAAAATTTTATGTTCTCAGTCAACTCTAACAGGTTACTATCTTAAATACAGTTTAAATAGTTTTGTAAAAATCTCTACAAGTTCTCTGACACTCTTCCCTTCAAAAGTGAGACTGAATTCCCCTGCCCTTGAATGGAGCTAACTGGTATTCCACTTGTAACAAATAATCTTTGATGAATGTAATAAATAGTCTTTGGTGAATGTATCAGCGGAGATTTAGTTCTAATAGGTACTGCAGCAATCTCCTTTGCTTTTATTCTTGAATAATCTGGGCTAGAGAAAATCAGAATAAGTTATTCTTTTGTCAAAATACCTTTGGTCTTACTGAAGGGCAGTTGTTTTGAGAGATTCAGGTGGCAATGGACTGAGCCATTACCAAAGCCATGTGAGTGAACCATCGTGCAAACAGCTACTCTAACCTAAGTCAAGCCAACAGAGGACTGCAGCTCTAGCCACTGTCCAAACAACTTCTTAAGAAATTCCAAACGACTACACAGCTAAATAATTCATCTAAAGAAAATGTGAGAGAGAATGTATACAGTTGTTTTAAACCCCTAAGCTTTAGTGTAACATATGGACAGCTGCCTTGTATCTCTACAGAAAAAAGACTAATAGAATATAGTAATCATTAAGAAATGAGACGATGCATGTGCAGAGGATCATTAACTATTTTTGGAATAAAATACAGTAATATTCTCCCATATTCATACTAGAAATACAGTGAATGGTTAGACATTGTAGCAGATGATTACACTGAAAATCACTGTTCTAACCAACTGAACTATTTCCAGCTGTACAGAAAGTAGTGATTTCTTATCCTCTTTTACTCACATAACCTTGAGACTTAAGTGCCAAACCTTAACTTTAAATGTCTTATTAATTCAGTTGCTAATAGACCACATTTCTTTCTAATGATTTTTTTAATTGTTATAGTAGATAATAATATAATTTAATTCTCGATACAAATTACATTAAATAAAAAGGTTAGTGAAATTGTGGCATTTTGTACTGTGTGTTGATACCCTAATGCTTGTGAGACTCCAGCAGCTCAAATCCACCAGCAGCACATTAGGACAAAGATGGAAGACAAATAAGAGGCCCAACGGAAAGTTGTTAGGAGTCAGAACCAACTCACCAATAGTGAGGGGTTTTTTGAACACTGAGATAGTGTTCCTCCAGTGAGTTCAGTGTTCCAGACCTCTAATGGTCAAATGTGTAATTGTGACCATCACTCCTTCTGCTCCTGCCATCTTTTTCAAACACATAATATTACAAAAGGAATATAAAAGAAGTGTTATGCATTTTTTAAAACCCAAATAAGTACAATACACTTCCACAAATAACCAATCTAACATTCCCAAAGTGGTGTGAGCATGAAGATTTCTATTTTAATGGATTTATTGAAATGGGGGGGGGGAGTATGTGTGATCTTATCTTGTCCAACTATATCACCAGATTTGGTGGTTTTTTTTTTATGCTAGTAGTAACATCAAACCATTTTGAAAACTCTACTTAATACAAAAATATCAGCATCTTAAACTATAAACAGAATAACTACAGAGCTGAAAAACTTCTTTTGAATAATGAATAAAACTACTTCATTCTCATAGAGGACTTATTTTCAATGACCTTTATTTTTGGCTTAGTAAATTACTACTTGTATTTCCCAGTTTAGTGTGAGTATAATGTGTTTTGTATTACTGAATTTTTTAACTTTGATATTCACTATAATATTAATATATTGAAAAGGGAGCAGTAACTGCAAAGAAAAGTATCATGGGACTGAAGCAACAAACTGCGATTCAAGTTGTCAAATAACAAGTATTGTGTAAAAACTGCTCTTAGCCTTTATAAGCAGAGTTTGACTGTATGTCTTTATCTCCCTTTAGACATACTCTGGAGGCATAGTGGATCTCTGCCCACCACCCAAAGGCAGGTGGTTCCAATCCACCAGATGCCTTGATGAGGAAAGAATAGTCTCTACCTGTGTAATTTACAGCTTTGGGAAACTGGCTGAAGAGTCAACTCTGAGTTGACTTCACCTCAGTGCAATGAATGCATGGCCAAATTCATGCACCCAACTTCTTACTTACACTCTCTCTCCTTTTCTGCTGCCTTCTCATATATAAACACACTTCCTAAACAACATGCCTCCAGAAACTCTATGAATTTGATGAATGTCAACAGTTATAGAAAGGCCTCAGGCCTTTTGTTCATAGGATCGCTATGAGTTGTGCTCCATTCAAATGCAATCAACAACAACATACATGTTCTATAGAAACTATATACTTTAATCCTCTCTTTAGATGCAGAAGATACCATGTTATATGATCTAAGAACCATTCCAATGAAAAATGTCTGACTTTAACTCAATATGTTCCAAACTTACTTGACAAAGAAATCACCTATTCTATTAAACTCCCTGAATTCTAGTTTTGACATGAAAATCAGCCAGCTGCTATTAAAAGAAGTTGCTTCTCATGCCCCACTCCAAGCCAAAAACCTCTTCTTTTACTTAGCTAATGTTTCAAATTCTGGCATCTTTTTTTATGAGAACTTTTTTTAGTGTTTTAGTGGCCAAAGGGAGCTCTGGTGACTCAGGGCCAAGAAGCTACGTTGCAATCCCAAAGGCATGTAGTTCAAATCCACCAGATGCTCCATGAGAGAAGGATAAGAAATCTCTTCCCATGCGATTGACTATCTCTGAAGACCCTCTAGAGAGTAAGCTATGGGTCAGTTCAGATTCGAAAAAAACAACAACAAAAGCAAACAACAGTGACCAAAATATCAAGGGTTATTTCCTATGTATCTGTAAACATTAAGAAGTCTTGTTAATGATTAATTTTTAACTGCAAGATCCTTAAGTACTCACGCCATCAAAACTAAATTTGTGAAGATGTATATTCCAATTCTTTATAGTAATGATTTCAATATGAATTGTGCATGAAAAATAACTGAATGCATCTGAGTAACCAGAACATACTATTTCCCAGCTATATTACGGTAAATCAAAAGATACATTTTAATGTTTTGCACCAATTTGAACTGGACCAATAAAGATGATCTTTTTAAATATGGTCAAAATAATTAAGTAGAAAAGTTACATTAACTTGCTTAAAGGATTTTTTTTAAAAACTAGTCAAGAAGCTTGTTAAGTGTTAAGGGTTCATTTCTATTTAAATAAGAATGCCTTAACATAAAAACCAATAATTTCCTTAGGCTTTAATGTTGCTCATTGGGCAAATATGTTGCTGAGGACCTTTTTAAAGTGCTGAAGAGCAAAGACTGAAGACTGAAGTGCCTGACCCAACCTATCACATTTTTAATTACTTTATAAGTATGTGAAAACTGTACAATGAAAAAGGAAGATTGAAGAACTGAGGCCTCTGAATGATAATGTTGAAGAATATAGAGTATATTATGGACTGCCAAAACTACAAATAAATCTCTCTTGGGAGAGGTAGAGCAACAGTGATTCTTAGAAGCAAAAATGGTACAGCTTCATCTCTCTGACTTTGAACATGTTACAGGAGAGGCCAGACTCTGGAGGACATCACACTTACTAAAATGACACAACAGGGAAGAGGATTCCATCTCCCTAATAAGACAGATTGACACTGTGATGACCATAAAGGGATTAAATACAGTGGCAACTGTGAGGATGGCCCAGAATAGGGTCAGATTTTATTCTGTTGGATACCAGGGTGGTACAAGTTTGAAATGACTGACTGGCACCTAACAATGTCAATAAATATTGATGAATCTTATCTGCAAATAGCAGTAAGCTCAATTAGCTGGTAAAAACCAAAGAAAGGATGAGGACACACAATGACTAGAAAAAAGAAATTAAGAGGAAAAGAGATAGATTCTCTTTTAACCAAGACAAAAAGCTACAATAATTTCATTTGTATTCACAGGTAAAAATACTTGCCTATTGGCACTGTATGAGGAGTCCACAGTGGCTCCAACCTGCGCTGGAAGCGAAGAAGTGTAGGACACTAAGGCTGGTGAGAACTCTTGAGGGGAGCTAAGATACTCCGGTGATGCTTGCTGCTGATGATGCTGAGCTAACATCTGCTGCTGCAAGAATGCCTGCTGATACTGCTGCATCTGAAACACGAAATGCCGTTATATAAAACAATGAAGCACTATGAGCCACCTAGAAAAACAATTCATGTCTGAAGGAGCATCTCAGCCACTAGGAAAGTATAGTAAGATTAAAGAAATCTATTTTAGAAGCTATAAAGTAAGTTTTATTTAGGAGGATTCATTAATTGAAATAGAGCTTCCAATCACTAGTAAAGTGATCAGAAATCAGCCTATCAGGGAAAGAGTCAAACTAGTCGCTAAAGCAGTAGCACATCATATCCTCTACAATGAGTTAGGAGGGGCTATTCCTTGGAAAGGAACATCATATACATTACCTGCACATTTAGAGCTAAATCTCATAGACTTACACATCACTTACCATTGTAGGGTACTGCGACGCAGAAGGTTGCTGATGATAGACAGAATTCACTAAAAATTGTTGCTGAAGTATCTGTTGCTGCTGCACTGCCTGTTGGTACTATAATGACACAAATTAACAAACGTATCACTATCTCTCATGCCTTTTTATAAAGACTCGATCTTATCCTAACAAGATCTGGAGAAGAACCAGTTCTTGGAGAAGGACATATTGCTAGGAAGAGGGGAGGGACAGTGCATGAGGGAAAGACCCTGGATGAGACGGATTAATACAGTAACTGGGCAATGGGTGCAGGTATGTCGGAATCAGAGAGACTGGCTCAGGACAGGGCAGGCTTCAGAGCTGTTATATATATGGTCACTATGAGTCACAGGTGACTGGATGGCACATAACAATAACAACTATAATTGGGGAAATTACTAGTCTAAATTTCAATATAAGATTGATACAATTAAAAAATAAAAAAAAATTTTAAAAGAATGACAGATACAATTAGCAAGTGATTGTAACATAAATGTTTCTAGAACTGGTTTTTAAATCATCATTGAAACATGGAAAGAAATCTAACCAAAACTGTTTGCAGCTTAGTTTATAATGTTTGGGATGAATTTACACTCATTCACCACCTCCCTTCTACCAGTTAATAAACATCCATGAAGGGACTAGTGTCCTGGCCATTACAGTATTTCGACACTCTGGATCTACAAATTAAGATGACAGAAGGAAGATACCCATGAGAAGTATCATACATATAACTGAGTAAAAAAAAAATTGCAGGAAGTTATAAAAGGATGAAAGTAACAGTAATTAGATTTTAAGTAACTTAAAAAACTTATTGTTACTGAATTAGAACTGCCTCATAGCTCAGCAGGTTTTCTGATGCTGTAAATCACATGCGAGGAGACTGCCATTGTTTTTCCTTGCCGCTAGCTGGCGTATTTAAACCACCTGCCTTTAGGCTGGCAGCACAACAAACAATCCACTAGGCCACCAGAGCTCTTATTTTTAGGTGCCATCAAGTTGAGTGGGACTCATAGCAACCTTATGAACAACAGATCTGAACCTTGTCCCAATCCTCTGCTACCCTCAAAATCTCTGACACACTTAAAACCATTGCTGCAGTCTCTGTGTCAATCATCTGATCGAGGGTCTCCCTTTATGCAAACTAAAACTTTAAAGGTTCCAATGAGGCCAGCTACTGACTGGAATTTAAGTGCATCTTACCAATCCACATAAAACAAGAGAATTAAAAATATAAACGAAATCCACAACAATGCTACTACCTTTCCCAAGATCATCTTCCCACTTAGCTTTATTCTTCTGTGTTGTAAGTGACAGGATAATATCCATATGCATGCATGAAGTCCAGTGAATAGCACGATCATTAAAATATATGCACCAACAAACAGAGTCAAAGAGGAGGAAATAGAAGGTTTTGAACATGCACTCAAGATGCATTAATGATAATAACAGGTGACTGGATTGAAAAAGTTGGGAACAGAGAAGAAGGATAAGTAGTTGGAAAACATGGACAAGATGACAGAAATGAAGCTGGAGTTAGGATGACAGAATTTTGCACAATCAACAATTTACTAATTGTGAATACACTTTCTAATAAACATAAAATCAGGCTATATGGATTTCACCTGATGGTAAGCATGGGCATCAGATCAATTACATTTGTGAAAAAAATCACTGGAGCAGCTCAATATCAGCTGTGAAAACTAGGCCAGGTGCTGATTGTGGAACAGACCACCAACTACTCATATGCAAGTTTAAGTTAAAGCTAAGGAAAATGTACAGGAAACAAAATAATGACCTTGAGTCTATCCCACCTGAATTTCAGAACCATCCCAGGAACAGGTTTGAGGCCTTGAACAGCAATGAGCAAAGACCAGATGAGCCGTAGGAAGATATCAAGAATATCATCCAGGAAGAATGTAAAAGGAGGAAGAAAGATCAAGATGGATGTCAAAAGAAAATCTGATTACTGCACTAGAGCACCAAGAAGCCAAAGCAAAGGATGAAATCAGGATATGAAGGAGTTGAATAGAAGATTCCAAAGGGCAGAAAGGGAAGACAAAGTAAAGTATGACAATGAAATGTGCAAGGACATGAAGTCAGAAAATTAAAAGGGTCGAACTTGCTCAGCATTTAAGTTGAAGGAATTGAAGAACAAATTCAAACCTGGAGTTGTAATACTTAAGGAGACTTTGGGCAGAATATTAAATTATCCGGAAAGCATTAAAAGAAGATGGAAGGAGTATACAGAGTCATTGTACCAAAAGGATTGGCAGACACTAAAGAATTTCATGAAACAACGTATGCACAAAAGCCTGTGGTGATGAAGGATAAAGTTCAAGCTGCTCTGAAAGAACTGGCAAAACACAAGATCCCAGGAATTTATGGCATACCAACTGACATATTTCAACAAAGAGACACTCCCCTTAATGTGCTCACCAAGTTGTGCCAAGAAATCTAGAGGACAACCACCTGGCCAACTGACTGGAAGAAATCATTATTTGTTCCCATTCTAAAGAAAGGTGATTCTGACAAGGTGCAGAAATTATCAAACAGTATCATTGATATCACATGCAAGCAAGATTCTGCTAAATTTTACCCAAAAATGACTGTAACAGCACATCAACAGAGAACTGCCTGAAGTGTAGGCTGGGTTTAGAAGAGGCTATGGTACTAAGGATATTAGAGCTATCAGATGGCTCTTGCCTGAAGCAGAGAGAACCAGAGTAATGTCTGTGTTTCACTGACTATGCAAAGGCATTTGACTGTGCAGATCACAACAAACTGTGGCTGATTCTAAGAATGGGAAACTCAGAACACTTAACTGTGCTAATGCGAAACCTATACTTGGACCAGGAGGCAGTCATCAGAACAAAGCAAGGACACACTGCATGGTTCAAAATTGAGAATGGTGTATGCCAAGGATGTGTCCTATCTCCAAATCTTTTCAATGTATATGCAGAACAGATTATCTGGGAGGCTGGACTCTATGAGGAGAAACGTGGCATCAGGATTGGAGGTAGACTCATCAGTAATCTGCATTATGCAGATGACACAACCCTGCTTGCTGAAACTAAGGAAGACATGAAGTGCTTGCTGCAGAGGGTCAAGGACTTCAGCCTTCAATATGACTGAAGCTCAACATCAAGGTTCTCACCACTGGCAGCACCACACACTCACAAATGGTAGATAGTAAAAAGACTGAAATTATAAACAGTTTCAGTTTGCTTGGCTCTAGAATCAACACTCTTGGTAACAGCAGCCAGGAAATTAAAAGATGAACTGCAATAGGAAAGTCTGTTAGAAACCTCTCCAAAGTATTGAAGAGCAATGATGTCAGTCTGGAGACTAACAGGGCCTGACCCAGACCATGGTCTTTGTAATTACGTGCTATGCATCAGAAAGCTGGACAATGACTAGGCATGATAGAAGGAGAATTGATGCCTTTGAGCTGTGGTGTTGGAAAAAAGTATTGAATATACCATGGACTGCTAGTAGAACAAACAAGTTCGTCCTGGAAAAGGTGAAGCCAGGTTGCTCCTTGGAGGCAAGGACTCTGAAGCATCATCTGACATATTTTGGACATGTTGCAAGGAGGGATCAGTCCTTGGAGAGGGAAGTCATGCTTGGGGCAGTGGAGGGACAGTGCAGGAGAGAAAGACTGTCGATGAGATAGCTTGATTCAGTGACTGGGGTAATGGGGGTAGGTGTATCAGAGACAATAAAATTGTCACACGATAGGGCTATTTTACATAGGGTCACCATTAGTCGAAGGTGACTCGACAGCACATAACAACAACATTCACCTCAAACTGCAGACAGCTAATTCATCACAAACTGCAATGTTTATTCATGAATGCCAAATAAGTAAATAAAATTTTTGCATCATAAAGCTATGATTCAATGTTTCAAAAGAACACTCTTGAGTACATCACAGTATGCAAATTACAAACACCTGCTTTAAAAGTCCCTTAAAAGACTGAGCAACGTTAACTTCAATCTAGAGCTCACAATTAAGAAAACAAGAATTTACTGGTATTCAATAGTTGCATGAATTTTACAATGCTTTTCATATGAGAAAACAACAAGTGAATTACCTGCTGCATGTAAGCGTCCTGTAGCAGTTGCTGCTGTTGCTGCTGGTGAGAAGGGCGCTGCTGTAAATGGAGTTGCTGCAATCGCCAGTCTCCCTGCTGGAGCTGCTGAAGTACTCTGTGCTGCTGAGGGGGTGGCTGAGCGGGCTGCTGAGGGGGTGGCTGAGGGGGCCCCTGGCTCAATAAAATGTCTGGGCCATTTCCAGGTCTCAACGCTCCTAAAATAGGTTTAAAAAAATGATTATTAACATACTCATGATTTCAATAAAATGGCTAGATTTTGAAACACTAATTTGAACAATCATTTAAACAAAACATTTCTATCTATATATCATAATACACAAACTTTTTTAAACATATATACCAAGTCCCCATGTTAAGAACATCTAACTTTTGAAAACCTCCCACTTGCCCTTTAATACTATGGAAGCTTGTCCACATTTAAAAGAATTATGAACCAACCCATATTCCCAATAAATTCTTCATCACAATTACCTCCATTTGTACATGTGCAGCTTTTAAATTACTGAAAAAGTTTCACATTTCGAGTGGTTATAGTTCATAATGTATTGGGCTGCTAACTAAAAGGTCAATGATTCAAATATACCTGCTACTACTCAAGAGAAAAATGGGAAGTCTTCTATCAAGAGTTACAGCCCCAGAACCTGACAGAGGGAGGCTATGGGCCATAACCAGGAGCAACAAGGGCAACCAGAAGCAAGCTCTCAGAAGGCCTTAATAAAATGATTACAAACTTTCAAAACCACATAAGGAAAAAGAAAAAAAAATATACAGCTAAGTGATACTATGACAAATGGTCTCCTCTACTACAAGCGAGACTAGAAGAAATGGATGGTACCTGACTACTAGTACTGAATACTTTAATGCAAGATAAAGGACTCTGATAAAAAAACTACAACAACAACAAAAAAAAACCAACCACCCCAAACCTATAAAATTTCAAATGATCATCCCTGTGTGAACCAAAAACTTTTTCCAATAGGATGAAAAGAAAACCCACTGACTTGGAAAAAATTCTGGCAATGAGATCTCAGACAAGAGTCCCAACAAAAGTTTACAAAATACAACAGGGCCTCCACAAGAGACTGATAACCTAATTATAAAATGGACAAGAGACATGGAAAGACTTTTCATAGAGGAAGATATTTGGATGGCCAACAGATACATGAAGAAATACTCAAAAACACTGGTAATAAGAGAAATGCAAACTACAATGAGATACCATCTCACCTCTGTAGCAGTGGCAAAGTTTAACAGGACAGCAAGTAATAAATGTTGGAGAGGATGTGGAGAGATTGGAAATCTCATATATTGTTTGTGGCACTGTAAAACGGTACAAACATTCTGGAAGGCAGTTTGATATTTCTTCAAAAGGCTGATCACAGAAATCCCCTTTGATTTAGCTATTCCACTGCTAGGAATATACCCCCAAGGAAAGAAAACTGACATAAATGGAGATTTGTACACTGATGTTCATAGCAGCGTTATTCACAATCACAAGAACATGGAAGCAGCCCAAATGTCCATCAACAAATTAATGGATAGAGAAATTATGGTTCATTCATATGATGGAATACTATGGAGCACTTAGGCGTCATAATTAAAAAAAATACTATGTAACATGGGAGAGGCTAGAGAGCCTTATACTAAGTCAACTAACTCAGTCATAAGGAAAAATACTGCATAAGACCATTACTGTAAAAATAGAGGGATAACTAGTAATATGTGTATGAATGTCCAAAGAAGGAAGAGGGACGGGGAAGTCACAAGATCACAGCATTTGGTGGGTGGAGGGAGGGGGTAAAGGAAGTAGGAAAGATCCATGAGGATTGCAAAAGGACAGGATAATAGTAGGCATGGGATCAATGGTGATTGTTTAAGATGCAGTGTATGGGAATGGTCATATGAAACACAATGTGAATGACAGAATGTGTGAAATATTATGTATACAAATGAAAAAAACAAAAAGAATTCTCTATTTGGAATCAAATTAGTAACAGCAATTCCAAAAGATATGAAAAGTACATTAAAAAGTAGTGAGTTTATTTTCATTAGAAGGGACAATAAAGAAAAGAGTGAGAATGGTTGCATAACTTGAGGAATGCCATCAATGTTAACAAATTGTAAATGTAGATATTGCCGAATTGGTATTGTGTTCTGCTGTGCATATTCTCAGCAACAGCACTGGTTAAAGTAGGCAAAATTAATGGAAAAAATAAATAATAGTCATTCCTGTTGACATCTGTACTAATCTCTGAAGTTTTTGTGCATGGTAATTTTGCATTATCAGACAAATGCTAAAAGACTATACTTCTTACCACTATTTTCCTCAAAGCAAAGCTCTGAATGTGAATCAAGAATCTGTTATAAGGAGGTTACTGAAATAACCCAACTGGCCAATAATACAAAAGTGGTTAAATAAGCTACGATGGCCTAGCAAATAGGGAGTTACACTGCCAAGCCAAAGGCTGAATCCTCAAGCAGATCCTCAGGAGAAAGATGGGTAGTATCCTCCTATGAGATTTATAGCCTCTGAAAACTCTCATCAGCTATAAATTGTTTCCCACTCCCCAGCAATGAGCTTGAATATGAAGTTGTTGCACCTTTATATTGACAGATCAAAAGCTACATAGTGAAACAAGATGCAATGTCTTATACTGTAATATTAAGAACAAAACAAAATCAAGCCTCAAACTCATTGGGGTCCAGTCAGAACTAACTCATAGTTGACCTTTCAGTGAGTTTTTCTGAAGCTATAAATGTCATGAAAGTTGACTGCCCATCTTTCTCCTGTGGATAAGCTAGGGAACTGAACCCCTTACCTTTGGATTGACAGTGCAACTCCTTATCCACTAGGCCACCAAAATGCCAGGGAACATAAGAAAAGGGGCTAGAAAACTGCATGTGAAATGGCTGTCAGTTAACTGGTGGGGGAAAAAGGAGTGCATTTTCACATTTTCTTTGAACACTTCTTTTTTGTCTAAATATTGTAGAAAATGACATCAAAGTACTGCTTTAAGTAAATATATATATAAACAAGGAAAGACATGATAGAAGACATATATATATATATATATATATATATATACACAAAGGAGGGGAGAAGAACATTATTTCTCCAGCTTACAAAAAAGTGTGTGAGAAAGGAAAAAGCTTCCCCTGAAATCAGGACCTGGCTTGGCACTCATAGCTAGATCCTGGTGTTCTCCGATTAAATATAAACAATTTCCTAAAATATCTACATTAGATAAGTCACTCTGTGACTGTGAAAAATCAAGAAAAACAAGATCATTTCAATAATCATGTCTGAACAGAGACAAGATCATGAATATGACTAATGACTGCTTCCACATCTTTCGCCTCTGTCCTTCTAGATAAGAGTTATTAAGGGATCTGGTCATTGTTGTTGTTATGTGCCACTAAGTCAACTATGACTCGCAGTGTCCCTACAAACAATGGTTCTAAATTTTGCCCTATCCTAAACCAACCTCACTGTCTCTAACACACATGTCTCCTTTGTCACAGTCACTGTGTCAATCCATCTCATTCCAGGGTCTCCCTCTACTGCACTGACCCTCCACCTTTCCAAGCATGATGTCCTTTTCAAAGGACTGACTCCTTCTGACAATATGCCCAAACTATGTGAGTTGGAGTTTCAAAATCCTTACCTCCTAGGAGCAACCTAGTTTCACCCTCTCCAGGACATAGCCTACTCTAATTTCCAAACAATATATAATCCAGAGCAAAACTCCACTTTCTAAACCTCCCCAAATACTAAATATAAGTCCAACCTTTTAATAAATCTTATCAAACACCATCTTATGGTTCTTACAATGCAAGATTAGTAAACCTAACTACATGAACAAATTACAGCTATATTCTTCATAGTCTTCATAGTCTCTGGCTAGGAAACACTGACATATGACAGAAAATGTACAGAATCATAATGTCAAAAATGTTTAAAAAAAAAAAGATAATCTAGTAATGAACGCAGATATATACTGACAGGCAAATGCCAAAAATTCAAGCCAGATTCAAAGAGGATCTAGAGCAAGGGCTATTGCTGCTGATATCAGATGAATCTTGGCTGAAAACAGAAAATACTAAAAAGATGCTTATCTGTGTTTTATGATGGTATCAAGGCACTTGACTGAGTGCAGCAAGAATACTCACTAAAAGCAAGGATGACAATACTTTATTAATTATAGATTAACATTCCAAGGAATGAGAATTCCAGAATACGTACTGTGCTCATGTGGACTTGTACACAGACCAAGAGCCAATCATTCAAACAGAACACGGGTGTAGTCCAGGATCCAGTTTTAGGAAAATTGTGTGTCAGGGTTACATCCTTTCACCATATATATTCAATCTGTGCTGAACAAATTTGGAAGAAGACTCACCTAGCAACATGCAGGGTGCAAATGATACAACCTTCCTTGTTGCAAGAAAATTTGAAACCCTTGCTGATAAAGGCTAAGAACTATATTCTTCTATATGTATTATACCTCAACACAAAGAAAACAAAAATCCTCACAACTGGACTAGGAGGAAATATCTTAAGAGGAGAAAATATTGATTTGTCAAGAATTTCACTTTACTTGAATATACAATCAACAACACCCATGAAATGACATATGGTACCAGACAAAACTCTTGCTGTTGAACTCTTCAGAGTGTTACAGAGAGTAAAGATATCACTTTGAGAACTAAAGTGTGTCAAATCCAAACAATATTATTTTCAGTCACCACTTATGCATGCAAAAGCTGGACCATGAATAAAGAAAATAATTTTTAAAAATTGATGCAAATGAATTACAATTGTTAGCAAAGAATACTGAGCATTCTAGGGAAACACAGAAGAATGAGCAAACTTTGGAAGCCAGAATGCTCCTAAGAAATAAAGACTCTGTCTCAGCTATGTTAGACATGTTATCCAGAGGGACCTGTCACTGAGGAAGGGAAGCATGCTCGTTGAGGATATACAGAAAAAGAGGAATATACTTAACATGATCGATCAACACAGTGGCTGCAACAATGGGCTTAATTAAACATAGCAGAAACTGAGAGGATGGCACAAGGGTACCACCAGACTAGGCAGTGTTTTGTTTTACTGTTCACAGTATAAATACGAGTTGGAATCGACTGAACAACATAGTTGAAAATAACAATACTGAATGCTTACTGGGAGGTAAAACTGCCCTAGCTACCACACATCTTGTTATTTCAGATTATAGCAGAAGAGTAGCTGTCATTCCCATTTCCCACAGAAGGATACTGCAATTGAGAAGCAGTAAAAGTGAGAATTAAAATACAAATGATTTAGAATCCAATATTATGGCAATGGTTTTGCTTTGGTTTTCTTCTGAATTCTCCGCTTGGTATGCTTGATTAATCCAAGGCTAGGTAGCAATACAGCAGGTAAGATACACACAAACTTTCCAGGGTTATACATTATGTGCACACATTACTTAATACTGTTTTTAACCTACTGCAGTTGAATCAATTGCAACTTAAAGTGCCCCTCCACTGAGTCTCTAAAGCTGTCAATATTACCAAGTGGGAGACTACTTCCTCTAGAAGATGAGATTGCCTCTAGAAGCCCTGACCTTTTTGGTAGCAGCCCAATATTTAAACAACTACCGACCTAAGTCACACACAATGGGGAAAAACCATGCTGTCCTGTAATAACCTTAGTAGTAGATAAGATCCTTGTGATCCACAGGGTTTTCAACAGCTGATTTTCAGAAGCAGACTAATTTTCGTTCTAGTCCATTCAGTCTAGAAGCTCTGCTAACCTTACAGCAATAATCTAACCTCCACTTGGGCTGGGTAATGACTGCACTAGAGGTGAAATAGTTCCAAATCTCTTACGTGAAAGGTGAGATATTTACGACTGAACCATAAATAAAGAGAAAAAAAATTCATTTCTGTTGAGCTGGAACTGACTCTAGTTGACCTTCCAGTGGCTATAAATCACCCAAGAAGAGGTTTTCATCTTTCTTCTGAGGAACCACTGATAGATTCAAACCACCAGAGATGTGCCACCTTTATTAGTACAACTCTGTAAGGTCTCATCCCTCATAAAAAGAAGTTAACATTTCTTAAGGACATATTAAAATCAAGGTCATTTGTGCAAGGTTATTAAATGACTGCAGTGAGCTATTTAATCCTTACCGTAATTCTTAAAAATAGCTACAAATATTTTTATAAAATAGATTACAGAAAAACAGACCATAAATCTAGATCTTTGACACAAAGTGTTAGCTCTTAATCAGCAGAGTATCTTAATTTGAAATACCAATTTTGTAAGTTACTACCTAACTTGGGAGGGAATGGAGAACATTATGCTAAGTGAACTAACTCAGTCCTGTAAGGACAAATACTGTTTAAGACCATTATTGTTGAATGCGTATGAAGATCCAATGGGTGGGGCAGAATGGTGTGGATGGGATGGGGGACAGTAACCACAAGATTGCACAATTTGATAAGTGGAAGGAGGGGTGGGTAAAGGAAATGGGAAGATCTGTGTGAAAAAAATGTATACGAATTTTGTAAGTAAACCAGTATGATGTTGTTGTTGTTGTTATGTGCCGTCGAGTTGCCTGTGACTCATAGTGACCCTACGTACAACAGTCCTAAACCCTGCTGTGTCCTGTGTCAATCTTATTGTCTGACACAGCTACCCCCATTCCCCAGTCAATGAATCAATCCATCTCATCGAGGGTCTTCCTCTCTTGCACTGCCTCTCCACTCTCCCAAACATGATGTCCCTCTCCAAGAACTAAATTAAAATTTTATTTAAATAAACAAATCTAATATTGAAATAAAATAGGGCACCAAACAAAGTTTCTTTGAGGTACGCCTTGTTGTTAAGCCCGTAGGTCCTTAACAGAACAAGTTTACTCTCTAAACCATAATGAGCAGGAGATATTTTAGATGAGAAAAACCCTCTTTCTCAAAATCAGATGCTTTCTATTTTTCAACAGTCACATGGTTCAAGATGTACTCCTTTGCCAAAACTACTGATTTACTTCAAAGATTTAATTTTGTAAGATTCTACTTCCCCCTTTCCATTGCAATACAGACCCTTTTATTCCTTTGTACTACCAACCTTAAAAGCCACTAGCTGGTGACCCTAAAGATCAAAGTATGTATTTATAGGATCAAAGCAAATTGTGAGCATTTTTTCCTACCATATTTCTTTATTGCCAAGAACTGTCCTTTGTTTACAACTTCAGGACAACTGTTAAGTAAAAAACATTGGTACAAAGTATCTTAAAGCATTATGTTATCTGCTTCAAAACTTAAGTTTTCTAGTAACTTATACCCTTATAAATTTGAACCAGAAAAGGTTTTACTAAAGTTACCAATAAAGAAAACTGTTTTACCTTTTGGTCTGTGGTTAGCAAATTCACCAGGAACGGGGACTTTAACAGGTGTTGCTGAACTCTGAATGGTCAGCACGCTGGGAGTGGCAGTAGTAGAGTTTGCCTTTGGTCTTTGTCTTGGTGCAATTGAGGTTTCTGTTGGTCCAATGGTATCTGTTATTCTACAACAAAGAAATAAATTTCAATACAAACACCGGGATTATTTCTAATTCACTGTACTATAAAGCATCTACTTTACCAGATTCATTTTCATTACAACCAGTGATCATGCAAATCCTCCTGGCTTCCTTCTAAATCACAATCCCAAGTACTATTTTATGAAGAAAAGAAAATAAAGTTTATTTTCCCTAAAGCAATAGGCTACTATTCACAGCCTGCCACTGAAGATGGCAGAAAATAATACAGTCCCAGAGACTGGTATAAGGAGAGGAAATGAGATTGAAAAGAAGCTAACTAAATAAAAACTGAGACTCAATTCTCCAAGCCTCTCAGATAAATAACAACAAAAAGCATTCTTCTTCCCCTAAACTGTACTCAAAGCTGATGAAAGAAGACTTCTCAGGATGTAAAACACAGGAAAACAAACTTTTAACATGTGAAGTATCTGCTCATATTCCACAACTTCTCTCATTTACCTTCCCTTAGAAGACTTAAAAGTAAAATGTAAATTATGCAAGTTACTGCAGTAGGACTTTTGCCCCTAGAAATACATGTTCAAACAGTAAGTATAGGTTTGAAACCTAGAGATGCCTAGTAATGTGAGAAGACAGAGATATATTAGCTTTTCCCTTTTTTTCCCCTTCTTTTTTTAACTTTTCTCTTTTTTAAAACATACAGGAAACTAAGGTGCGTCTGATACAGGCCATGGTTTTTGCAATCACTTGTTATGCATCAGAGAGTTGGAAAATGACCAAGGAAGATAGAAGGAGAATTGATGCCTTTGAGCTGTGGTGCTGCTGGAGAAGAGTGAGAAGACCATCGACTGCTAGGAAAACAAACAGATTTGTCCTGGAAAGGGTTAAACCGGGTGGCTCCTTGGAGGCAAGGATTCTGAGGCTCCGTCTAACTTACTTTGGACATGTTGTGAGGAGAGACCGGTCCTTAGAGAGGGACATCATGCTTGGGAGGGTGGAGGGACAGTGCAGGAGAGGAAGGCCCTCTCTGAGGTGGATTGATTCAGTGACTGGGATAATCGGGATGGGAGTATCAGAGACAGTGCGATTGGCACAGGACAGAGCGGAGTTTTGGGCTGTTGTACATAGGGTCACTATGAGTTGCAGGCGACTTGACAGCACATTAACAACAACAACTTTTTAAAAAAGGGATTAAATAGTGTAAGTGAATTTTGCCAACTACAAATGTAAGACAAAAACACAAATGCTTTTAACATAGTCACATGCTTGCTTTCCCACAGGATTCACAATAAAATCTCTATAACTAACTACACTGTTCCCTTAACATATTTCCAATGATAAATATTTGGAAATTTTATAGACCTACATACAGAGTACACACACATCTCTTGCCTTTGGAATAAGCATTGTACACCTTAACTGCACAAATCTATAGCTGTTTCCTAATATCTCTACGTACCACAAGAGGGAGTCCTGCTAACAAATATGTTTTCCAAGAAAAAAAGGACAAATCAAAAGATTTTAGAAGTTGGAATTATAGTGTGCATCATGTTTTTAAAAGTATTTGTGCTTGGGAAGGGATGAATAAAGGGCAAGACATGAGAAAATAAAACTGAAAGTCAAGAAAAGACCATGTATACATATAAATTATATTTTATTTTAGTAATAGTTTCTTAAACTCAAATGATAGAAGTAAAATCCTTTCATTTGTCTGTTCATTCTTTACTAAGTCTGCAGGCAGACCTAGCCCTACCTGTTTCATGCTATACATAGCTCTTAGAGAGTTAACAGTATACATAAGCACATCAGAATCTCTAAAAAGCAAGTAATAATTCTGCAAGCCATTGGAAACCACACTGGAACCCTGCCCTGTGCTGCACTACCCTCTCAACATGGTGTAAATTTACTGGCATCAAGCAGAACATTGCACAAAACTACTTTGACAAATACTCCTGTAGAGGGATAAAGCACCAATCTGTTTTCAAACAATTTACAGTACACACAGGAAGGTATGATACATGTTCACAAAAAAAGTAATGAAACATTAAGACAGCAAAAATAATAAGACTCAACAAAGGGCCACCATGTGTTCCATGAATTAGCTGTGAAGTGCCATCGAGCCGCAGGCGACTCATAGCGACCCTATGAAGGAGAGCCCTCAACGCTTGGGTGCCTTTCATCCTCTCTCCAGGCTCATAGGGTTTCCAGAGGCAAGCTGTTATGGAAGTGGATGCCACTCCTCCTTCCAAGCTTGTTTTAATCCCTATATAAACTAAATCAAATCTACTACTACTGCTGAGTGGATTCTGACTCATGGAGAACTTCCACTGGGTTTTTGAGGACATATATCTTACCAGCAGTGGGCAATTTCCCTCTTTCCCTATGGAGCAATGGGTGGAATTGAACTTCCAACTTTCCAGTTAGCAACACATTCATTACTCACTGTAACACGAGAGTGTCTATATATTATATAGGTATTCTAAATACTCTAAAATATTAACAGCTATTTCTTCTTTCCATAAATATTTTTAATAAATTATACTGGCTATATATAATACAAGACTTCAGACAGGTTTAAGTCATGGGCCAACTAAAATCAGAACAAATTTGAATTTTTTAAATTTAGATGAAATGGAACAATAACCAGAATGGGGGAAAGTGCAGGTTGAAGCCCTAGAATGGAAGATTCAGAAGAGGATTAGTGAGTCCCTTTAGCAGCATGATGTGGGAAAGTGGTCTACTGCCAGGACCCTATAGGACACACATATTCAAAACACTGTAATCTGCTGCCATTACTGAGCTGAGCACCGCTGTTTCCAACTCTGTGTATCAAGAGATTTGGTTGCTATGAAATGGAAATGCTGCCTTTGTTTTTTAATAACGAAATTCAATTTTGTTTCTAGTAAGGTGCTTTATCTGTAATTTTTCTCCTTCTGGTTAGCATTCCAGGTCACCCATATTTTACAAATTTAAGTTCGTTTACTTCATTGGTAATGATTAAACTGGAAAATAATAGTTCAAAATTCTACTATAAAATAGAAAATAGGATTTTACAAATTAGATTTGTCTTGTAATGAAAATAACAACAGCTGTCTCCCAATAAAAAGGCCCATTCTAACATTACTAATTAAACAGTTAAACAATTATTTTACAGTTGAGAATGAGCAGTTCAAGTGGGACTTATTTCAAAACCCATATCCCATACAAAAATTTTATTTTGTACTTGTTATCCAGACATGCTACAACATAACACATGCACTGAGACATTTTTGTTGGTGAGGATAACGCTTAATCAATGACATTTGCTATAATAAATGTAAAACTATTTAAAACTAAGAACTGTATCTTTACTTTAAAACTGACAATTTAAATTTCAATATCATTTGGCCTACCTGGCTTTTATTTGGCTTTTCCTAGCAGCTGCTTCACTAGCAGTCATCGGTTCAGGAAGAGCTGAAGGAATAGTTGCATTCTTGGAAGGAAAAAAAATACAGAACTTTTTATTTTAACTTTAATCTTAATTGAAAAAAAAATTTAAAGCTATGACTATACTCTTGAGCATAAAGTACTGTCTGGTGATTTAACTTTTCTTTTCCCCTTTGTTGTTGCTGTTCTGTGCTGCTGAGTTGATAAAACAATTTTTTTTTCTTGACTATATGTACATGTCAGACCTAATTACAACCATCACTGCATGTTATTCAAACATCACTTCCATATTCATGCTCCATCAAAACTCATAGAAAACAAGAATATCATTGTGTTTATAAATGGGTGAGTCTTGTATTTAAAAGAAAAATAAACATCTGTTCACTTATAAAATCAATTACTTTCACATTTTCCAAAAGGAAGCAAACAGCATGCGTAGAATAAACTTAGGAACCTTTCCCCATTTTGCAAAAGGAACCAAACAGCAAGCCTATGATTAAACCTGTGGTGTGGTGTATAAGTAGCTGTCCTGCTAAACAAAGGCGGCACTTCTCTGGGAAGTTCAAATCCACCAGTGGCTCCACGAGACAGAGATAAGCAATCTTTTCTCTGTGAGATGTACAGCTTCCAAAACCCTGCTGGAGGATCAGTTAATAGTTGCTCTGCACTCAATGCCAATAAGTTTGAGTTTTTCAGTTGCTTCTACATACTGTATATAATTTTCAGAGCACTGCTTGTAAGGGAGTAAGGAGTAAGGCTAGAAAGCCTCACTCATCATTTGAGCCCTTGCGTTTGGCTCATAGTGGATATTTACTCTATGGCCACTAAATGAAAAGTTAAAAATCCACAGACAAATAATTACTAACAATAACTTCATTACTAGAATGTTAAAGCTGTGTGGCTTAAATTCATAAGTATTACAATATAATAAACAAAAAGAAAACATACCACATTCCTTTTTTTTTTTTGTAGTGTGTATCTAGGTTATATGCAAAGGAAAGCGTGATTTTACAAAATTCTAGAAATACCTGTTAAAACTGGGAAAGGCTTGCCATAAACAATTGATTGGAGGAAGCTAAGCAAAAAGGTGTAAAAAAAATGAACAGATTTCTAAACCTATAAAAAATATTAGTTATTGAAAACTAAGCATTTTCCATAGTCTAGGCGCTAAGTTTTTACATTTAATATTCAAATATGTTTTACAGAAAGATATTAAATAATCTCATGAAAGATACAGAATCTGATAAAAACAGAGTTGAACACAGGTGTGTTCATTTAAAATGCCTGTGCTCTTCACACCTAAAGTTACCAAACTTTCTCAGTTTTACAGAGCACTTCAGATCTCGAAATTTTTCATGATAAAGGTAGGCATTAAGAAGAAAAAGAAAAAAAACTAGCATCTCTTTAATGGGTTTTTGTTGTTATGAACCATAAAGCTGTAACTGGCCCATCGCTGACACTCCAGTGGGTTTCAGAGTCGGTAAACAGCATGGAAAATTATTGTCCCTCTTTCTCCCACAGAACACTTGGTAGATTCAAATTGTGTGACTTTGGATTGGCAGGACAACTCCTTACCACTAAGCCACCAGAGCTCTTTTACTTAATGTTTGCTCCAAATAACTTAATAATGACCCATGCACTGTCACTGTTAGATGTCCCTACTTTCCTGAAAATACAAAAGCATACTATCACAATGCTTATCATAAACCTAGTCACTCTAAAAATATATGCACACTAAATGTAATGAAATTATTTTAAATTCACTTCCCACTTAAAAACTACTTACGTTGATGTTGGAAACTGAACAATCCTTTTTGGCAAATTTAAATGCGAAATAGGACACTTGAAATATATCGGGTCTACGCTCTGGATCTGGTTCAAGCATAAATCCTGAAAAAATGGATCAAAAATTAAGCAGTGTGGAGTACAAAAGATACTTAGCGATGGAGTCTAAGAACAAAAGGACAGTATGTTCCATTATTAGATCACCAATAATTTTTGTTAACTTTATTAATGTTTAGAGAAAATTCACAAATTACTACTTGTACAGTTACAGAATTATACCAAGTTAAAAAATCAGTCACAGAACAGCTCTGCATAAGAGATACAACAAAGTTTCTTCCTCTATTTTAAAAGCAGCACAAAATAACAGGGAGATTAGTGAAATCTGAGGAATAATTAAAAGAAGTTCTAAGGTCATAATAAGGAGTTCCTTTTCCCACACTACTTAACATGTCTAATTTTTCAGATGATTATGCATCATACAAGATTGAGGGGGGGAAAGGCTAAACTGTGTACATAATTATTTATCTTAAAAGTAGTATATAATTAACACTGTGATTTTCCAGAAATATTTTCTTTTCAGACCAACAGTAACAGTCCTCACTAAAGCACTGTATTTTAACATGCTATTTATATTATGCTCAAAAGTATGAGTAGTTTTAAGGTTCTATTATGAACACCTGAAAAGATTTCTACTATGCAACTCCCTAAGCTTGAGAGAGATACCTGATCTTTTTGTCTAACTAAAATGACCACTAATAATGTGTCTGTTGTCAAATCATTTCTTGACTCACAGTAACACCAAGTACTACAGAAAACACTGCCTGGTCCTGCTCCAGCCTCACAATCACTGCCATATTTCACTGTTGCAGCCACCGTGCCAATCCATCTCACTGAGTGTCCAGCTCTTGCCACTGAACTTCTACTTTACCAAGTCTGAGTTCCTTCTCCAAGGACACCTATTGGTAGGTAACATAGTCAAAGTCTATGAGATGCAGTCATTATTAACACGATGGCGCACACTTTTAAAACTGACAACCATACTTAGAAACACCTCTGCCTTCATTTGCGGCAACGTGTTAAGGAATAGTTCTGACTGAATTTCTCCAAGATAGATTTGTTCGGTCTTCTGAAGTCCATGAAATATTTTCTAAGACCATAATTCAAATATAACAATTCTCCTTCAGGCTTCCTCACTCATTATCCACATACTGCATGCCTTTGAAAATATAATGTAGATCACATACACATATAGTACACAAAATGACATCTTCATTTTTATCATTTCAAACATGCCTTTTACAACAAATCTGCCCAATGAGATCAATACGTAATTTGATTTCTAGGCTATTGTTTCCATAGGCACTGATTATAGAAATAAGTGAAATCTGGGATACTTCAATCTATTCCTTGTTTATCATGATGCTTTACTGGTCCTGTGGCGAATATTTTTAGTCCCTTTATGATGAAGTATAATCCATACTGAAGTCCTCCTTCATTTAGAGCTATAAGATTTATGTCACCTGCATATAAAAGGCTGTTAATGAGTGTTAGTCTAATCTTGATGCTGTGTTGTTCCTACACCCAGTTGGTCAGCATACAGATTAAGAATGGCGAGAGGATACAATCATGACACACAACTTCCTCAGTTTTAATCTACATAATGGCTTTATTTTGTGCATCGTGGTCTATGCACAAGTTCTGCATGAGCACAATAAAGTGTCCTCGAATTTTCATTTGCTGCAATAATATGCCTAATTTCCTTGTGATGTAGCATAGAATCAAAAAGCTATTTCACAGTTAATAAAAGAAAGGTAAGCATCTTCTTGCATTCTCTGCTTTCACCTATCCATCTACCCAAAGTAACAGTATTTGTTACACAGCATCTTCAGACTCCAGCTTGAATTTCTGAAACATCTTGTCGAGGTATTGCTAAATCTCTTTTCAATTACTTTTAGCAAAACTTTATTTACATGTGATATTAACAACATTGGTTGACAATTTCTGCAGTCAAATGAATCCTTTTTCTTTGGGGTTAGTAAAAATATGGATGTCGAGCAGTAAGTTAGCTTAGTAACTATCATTAATTTCTCAGGATGGTTGAGTGAACACATTCAGAGCTGCATTAATTTGCTAAAATGTTTCATGGCTATTCTGATTATTCCTAGAGCCTTTTTTTCCTTCATTTTTTTGTTGCTAGATTTGTTGGGGTTTTTTTACCTTGACTGACAGTTTACAAATCCTATTGGTTTTCATTCAATCACTTATACACATTTTATTTTATAAAATTATAATTGATTCATGTAATTAATTATCCAGTCTAATAAAACCTTTATTGTACATTATCTTTTTCTTCACCCAACTAATGTATTTTTCCCCTTTTGTTCTTTCAGTATTATAATTGTTGTTGTTGTTATGTGCCACCAAGTCGCCTGTGACTCATAGCGACCCTATAACAGCCCTAAACCCTGTTCTATCCCTTGCCAATCTTATTATCTCCGACACACCTATCCCAATCACCGTGACTGAATCAATCCATCTCATCAAGGGTCTTCCTCTCCCGCACTGTTGCTCCACCCTCCCGCATGACATCCCTCTCCAAGGACTGATCCCGCCTTGTAACATGTCCAAAGTATGTTAAGACGAAGCTTCAGAATCCTTGCCTCCAAGGAGCAACCTGGCTTCACCCTCTCCAGGATGAACTTGTTTGTTTTCTTAGCAGCCCATGGTATATTCAATACTATTCTCTAACACCACAGCTCAAAGGCATCAACTCTCCTTCTATTATCCCTAGTCATTGTATAGCTCTCTGATGCAAAGCAAGTAATTGCAAAGACCATGGCCTGTATCAGGTGCACCTTAGTCTCCAGACTGACACTGTTGCTCTTCAGTACTTTGAAGAGGTCTGACAGCAGACTTTCCCAATGCAATTTATCTTTTTATTATTTTTTTTAATTTATTAATTCTAATGAAAGTTTACAGAGACTTAGGGTTTCCAGTCATTCATTGTTACACTTTTCTCCCTGGCCACCCCCTCCCTGCAATTAATTCTTCTCCTTGAAAAGTAAAAGAGAAATTCTTTCATTGTTATGCAATCCCTCCCCCAAGTCCACTTCACTGTGCAGACTTCATTCTGGACTCCTGTCATAACAATAATACCCAATCATATATCTCTTTTAAACGATTCTCTTCCTCATCTGTTTCAATGCACTGTAGATCATTCTTCCCCCCTTTCTCTGCCTTCCCTCAACCCTGATGTCAGTCCCGTTTTACAACAGTGGCCCTATGTAATTTTGTCCTTTTGTGACTGAGATCTTTCACTCAGCATAATGTCCCCCAGGGTCATCCACTTTGTTAATATTTCATGAGTCCATTGTTTTCCAATGCTGCATAGTATTCCACTGTGTGAATATACCACAGCTTCTCTATCCATTTGTTTGTTGATGGGCACTTGGGTTGTTTCGAACTCTTTGCTATTGTGAACAAAGCCACAATAAACATGGGTGTGCATATGTCTGCTTGGGTGGCAGTTATGGTTTCTTTAGAGTAAATACTCAGAGGTGGGATTGCTAGGCCAAATGCTATTTCTATTTGCAACTTTTTGAGAAAGTGCCATACAGCATTCCATAGTGGTTACACCCACCATTTTACATTCCCACCAACAGTGAATAAGAGTTCCAGTTTCTTCACAATCTCGCCAGCAATTCATCTTTTAATTTTCTGGCTGCTGGTACTAAAAGTGTTGACTGTGGAGCCAAAGAAACAAAGTGGCAAGAAACTGCACTGCATTCCTGAAGACACACAGTTTGAGGCCACCAGCTTCTCCGCAGGAGAAGGATGGGTAATCTCCTCCCCAGCAAGTAAATACCTGCAAAGATCCACTGAAGGGTCAGCTTTGGGTTGGTTCTGACTAGATGGTACACAACAACAAACAACTACATAAAAGATTTCTAGTGGCATAAAAACAATAAGGTTTTTAAAATATGTGAGACAACTAAGAGTAATTCAGAAGCAGTGGTTTAAAAAAAAGGAGAGGGTAAAAGAATGTCAGTAAAGAAACTGCATATGAACTCATCCTAAGTGTACATGCAAAATATATATAAAGAGGGTAATATGACCCATTACATGAATTCACGCTTTTAAAAAAAAAAAAAAAACTAATCAAGTGCTCAGAAAAACCACTATGGTTGACAGTGAAAGCAGAGAGCAAATTATCCCTCAGGTTCTTCTACAGATTGTTCGCATAAAATGAACAACATCCTTAAGGAATTGCAATCTAGAACACAGTACCTTTTCTTAAACACACTTAACTGGTGGCATCACATTAACTGCAATTCAGTAACAGGAATTCTATCGGGATATAGAACAATATGGTGCTAGTATACACTTCCCTGATGATCTGACTTAATCCAAAATATTACATTTTAGAGAGAACAGGATGATTCTTCAGGTATTTCTGGTGGGTTTTTTTTCCCTTTTTTTCATTTTTTTTCTTTCAAAATAGCTCAGAAACATTGAGCAGATAATTTTAGATTTCTATTCTGTAGCCAATATACGCACAAGTAAGTTAAACACAACACCAAATCCTCTAATGATTAGGTAGTTCGGCTCAGGGTAGAACTGATAACATTTTATGAAAAAAAGAACTTGCAATTCTCCTGGCTTAGGTTTTTTTCAACTGCAGAGATCCTATTATGTGATACAAAATGAATTTAAAGTGTTATGACTAGCATTTATTTAATGAAGGTGAAGAGAAAATCAGAGTGTATCATTCTACACTTAAGCAATATTTAATGAAACGATCTTATACATCCATGATGTACTATATGCATGTGCATGTATATAATAATTAAGCATGTTGGGAGGTTTTTTACAGTAAATCATAGTCAAAACGGCCATTGTGCCAGTGTAGGAACCATGACATCTCTTGACTCTAGTTCATTCTTCCCCATGGAAAAACATAGGCTTCACCTAAGTGTTAGGTGAAGTTTAAAAGCAGCTCCTACACATGTCTATCTCTGTCTCTAAACAGCTCCTACACATGTCTATTTCAGAAATACTATTCTCTGGAATACATGTTCTCTACTGAAGAGCATGTTTTTTGTATGCTGCTTGCATCTGCAGAGAAATTTTCCCACCTTGCCAAGACTAACTGTAGGTAAATTTATGGACTGAGGACAAATAAACAGATACATTTGGCTTCAGAACTAAACTACAATCTGCTTCATCAGCACTAAAAGTTGACAGTTTTACCAGTTAAGTTCCTGTGTCACATCTCTTGTTTTCAAACTTAAGAGTATAAGCAGGCTACTTCAGGGAAAAAATGAACTTTGTCTCTGAGTATTCTCAGCAATTAAAAAACAAAACTTAATAAGGCATCTGTAAATAATTTACTTTCTAAAACTTCTAAGAGAATTGAGATATAGGATACATACTTGGATAACTGATAAGTGATATAATCTGTAATTCAGAATATCATCATTAAACTAGCTAAACAGTGAGGCATAGCTATCAAGAATGGCAATTTCAGTTTTTAAGCAGTTAAAGTCACTTCTCATAACTGCTGTTTTGTTTTTATGTACCGTCAAATTGGAACCAAACCATAGGTGACCCTCCAGAGGATTTTCAGAGGCATGACAGTGGACTGCCCATCCTTCTCTCTGAAGCAGACACTGAAACAATATGCCTTCAGGTTAGCAGGGTAGCTCATATATTTAATAAAGGTATACTCATATCACTTTCAAAGCAGGAGTGGCATCCACTTCCTAAACAACATGCCTCCAGAAACTATGAACTTTGAAAAATGTTGATAGTTGTCAAGGGGCTTCAGGCCTTTTGTTCATAGGGTCACTATGAGTCTTGCTCAACTCAAAGGCAATGGGCAATCAACAACAACAATCGTCACATATTTTAAAAAGCACACAGGCACAGTTACAGACATATTTTTGGCATGCCTAAATATAGGACTAATTTTCTGACTCTGTCATAGCCTCAGAGGACAATTCAGTCAGTTGGCATAACAGAGCTCTTAAAGTTTATGTTCTACATTCTAGGATTGTAAATACTGTATATGACCTTAAAAGCTTGCAAGTGGACATCTAAGATCCAACTGCTGGTCTCTACTCCACCAGAGCAAAAGAAAGTGGAAGACTCAAGGCTCAGAGAATTAACTATTCTACAGGACTTTCTATGTGACTCGACAGCACATAACAACAACAACAGGACTATCTATAATAACCAAGGGTCTCATGTTCACTAAGACCAAAACTAGATGGTGCCCAGCATCCCTCACTGATCATTCTGACAACAACAGCTGGATCCTGACAAAAATGGAGAAGAACGTAGAATTTCAGATTGAGACCTGAGGACTCGTGGACGCTACTGCCCTGAGAATGTCTTTAAACCACAAACCAAAACTATACTCTGAGGTTCTCTCTGAGCCAAATAAGAGACTGATTCTTAAAGTAAGCACTATGCTCCTTTAATTTTATAACAAGGGTACTTTTTTTTCCTCTTTCACAGGTTTCCAATTATAATATTTAGAATGGGGAAAATAAACAACATCCATTCTAATCTTTAATCATAAATATTTTTAAGCATTAGCTTGCTTTTTCTGTCAACTTACAGAATTATCATAAAAATGCACATGTATCTTACATATTTTGTTTTAGTGACTGTTGAAAGAAAGCTAAATTTAACAGCTAGCAATTTATGCATTCATTCCTCACTAATATCCTAAGTGGCACCATCTGCTAGGATCAATAGTAGGAAAATACATCTGGGAGAGTGCTGATTAACTGTTCCTAGACCTGGTCATCCCTCCATTACATCTCCATGTGGTAACACAGCTATTGCCAAAAACTTTCAGGGGAATCCTACTTTAAGATTTGTTTTCAATTAAGAGAGTGAATGGATAATAAATTATAAAAATCACACTTGCTCTTGATTAATAAAAAGGGTATTCAAATATCTATATAACCAGGAGTCACTACAAATATAGTATGTATGTTCTGGTTTTTTAAAAAAGAAACTTTGTTTCTTCTGTTTGTCTAGTAAAGAAAAACATTAACAAAGAAAATCTTCCAACTCTTAAATAGGAGTTAAAAGTACAGGGATTATTATAATGCATATTTAATTAAAAAGTTTTAATATATTCAAGCAGTTCATTTGTCTAGTTTTTTTAAAAAACCTTCAAGGCCGTGCATTAGAATGAATGAAAATTACTTTCTCCAATACATATTTGTTTGTTCTTTTGGCTGTCCATGGAATAGTCAGTACTCTTCTACACCACAGTTGAAAGGCATCAATTCTTCTGCCATCCTTATTTACTGTCCAGCTCTCAGATGAATAACAAGTGATTGAAAAGACCATGACCTGAATCAGGCACACCTTAGTACTAAAAGTGGCATCATCGATCCCTGACTGAAGACTTTCTCAGTGTAATATATCTCAGGGGTGTTGACAATAGGTTCAAGCAAGATGAAGTCATTGAGAGTTGATGCCAGGTGCCATCAAGTGGTCTAGGAAACACAGCAACCTTATGAATAACAGATGTGAATCTTGCCCTATTCTGCAGCATCCTCACGATTTCCGTCAAGCTCAAGCCCACTGCCCACTGTTTTAGTCATAGTATCAATCCATCTTGTTCAGAGTCTTCCTCTCTTCCTCTGAAACCTCTACATTTCCCAGCATGATATGTTTTTGCAAGGACTGTTATCTTCTGACAACATGTCCAAAGACCTAGAAACAAGCTTTCACCATCCTTGCTTCTCAGGAGCACGCTGGTTGCACTTCCTCAAAAATAGATTTGTTTGTTCTTTTGGCAGCCCATTGTATCATTCAATACGCTTCTCCAACACTATAATCCAAAGGTATTGGCTCTTCAATTTTTCTTACTCACTGTCCAACTTTCAAACGCATAGAAAAGCAAATGAAAATATCATGGCTTCCAACAGGTGCAACCTGATCTTTAAACAGACATCCTTGCTCTTTTAGCACTCTATAAAAACTCCATGGAGAACAAAACAAACTGAGAGGGAATCTCTGTAGGGAGACGAAGGCCCCACGTATGAGCATCTATATCTATGTTCTCAAATACAGTTGAAAAGCATTTATGTTGGCGGTGCAGCAGTCATGCTTGGAGCTGTTTCCATTAGCCTCAAAACTGTGACATCACCTCCCCAACAAGACAGGACAAGATTTCAATATGTTGCTCAAAAGAGAAGCTTTGAGTCATTGTTGACTCAAAGAAATTTGACAATAACAACACCATTATTCAGATTACACTGTGAAATGCATTACACATAAAGCAGCATCATTTCTGTGTCAAGCTGATAGAATTCTTCCATTTCCAACATGTATGAGTAAATACTTATTATAAAAACAAAAGCTTATACTTTAAATTATTACGAGTGCAAAGCAAGGTCCGCTTTCCTTTTATGCTCATTTTCTTTTGGTCACTGCCTATTTTCCTTTTACAGTGACTGTTCTTTTCACGAGTACTGCAATTGCAAATGCTAGCCATTTGTTAAATTTATAGTCTTTTTTTCTAGTTTATCATTTGATTTTATGTTGGGATTCATGGACTTTATATTTTAATGATTTAAATTTAATGGTTAAACATTTTTTCTTTTCTATTTCTGGAGTTTAGTGCCATGCTCTAAAATTCCTCATTTCAGTCCTATAAACAAGCAAATACCAATTTTGTCTAAGTACCTTTATGCTTTATTTTCAATCTTTAAACCTTGACAAAACTTTAGCTTAACAAATGAAGTAGGGAGCCACTTTATATTTTGTATCCAAATGGCAAATAAATTGTCTTTACCATCTATTTTACCCACTAACTTTGTCAAGTTTGGCATGTAAATTCAGTACATTTAACAAATGTATTTTAAATATATTTATGCCTTTGACAAATACAAAAGACATTTTGTCAAATGTGTTTATATTGACCCTCTTTTCTTGTCCATTAATCTGTGTGGCTAGAGACAATAACAGGTAGTATTTTAAATGCTCAAAACTACAGAATTGCATGAAAATTGGAATTAAAACAGTTCTGAGAAGTGCTATTTAAATACTACAACTTCTTAACATATATTTATTATTGAATAGCTAGCATCAACCCACTCCAAACCATCATTTTCAGAAACTTTATCATACACACAAAGATAGAGAAAGCGAGAGAGAGAGTGAGAGTGTGTGTGTGTGTGTGTGTGTGTGTGTGTGTGTGTTTTAAATTATAACATGGATGAAAACGGGAAAAAATTAAAGAATAGAAGAAAAAGAGATCATTTTTTGGTATAAAAATACAACAGGTTTATCTCTTCTGACATGATCTTAGTTTCTACTTATTATCTCATAAACCATAGGGAATGGATTCTAAAAAGAGTGGTACTATAAGCTAAAATCTAAAACTATTAACACTTTAATTCAGAAAGCAACACAACAGGATATTTGTATTTCAAAAGTGTAGACCAATTAAATACAGTTTTTTCAGAAATTCTGATTTCTTTTAATTATGTGAACTCTGCTTATGTGCTACTAAAGCTTATCTAGGAGCTTAAAAACATTAGTCTATCTAAGTAGGCTGCTTTCATTCTTAAACGGTTTTTCACATTATATCATTACTCTAGCTACACAAAATTTTAATACATTAAATAAAAATACTAGATTTTTAGTTGAAGAGGTATAAACATTCAGGCCCTAAGTACAGTCTCTTACAATGTTTCTATATATTTACCAAATACTTACTTATTAAGCAATGTATGTTATGAGAGTAACGAGAATTGTCTGGAATGGTGAAGGTACCATCACAGATAGCAACCTGACTCTCACCAAATGGAAGAGTGAAGAAACAAAGTTTATAGAGTAAACATCCCAGTGCCTGAAAAACAAAGAACCATTCATATTATAAGAGTTCTAGCACTCACCTTAACCATAAGATATGAAAATAATCAAAAAACCAAAACTAAAATGTTACTTAAAAAACACAACACTATTAAGACTATACTGGATCTTTTTACAAATTAGTGTTTAAGTAATTCTTCATATGTTTAATCATTGAAAAGATACTCAACTATACGTTCTCCTGTTACATGTTACATCTGACTGAATCAGATGCTATCATCAAACAACTGTGCATGATGTAATTAAATAAGAAATAACTAAGTCTTTTTGGAAAAAAATTACAAAATTTTATTTCTTCCTCTCACTGGCAAAACTCATTGCTGTCAATTCAGAACCAACTCACAACTGACCCTCTAGTATTTCTCAGAGTCCAAAAACTGCACAGGGAGCTATGGTGACTTAGTGGTAAGGAGTTGCACTGCCAATCCAATGCAGTTCAAATTCAGCAGTTGTTCCACAGGAGAAAGATGGGCAATCTTCTCCTGTGATTTACTGACTCTGTAAACTCGCTGGAGGGCTGGCTATGAATCAGGCCTGACTCGACTATATGTAACAACAACAAGAAATTACACAGAAGGAGATTGCTCATCTTTTTCCCACAGAGCAGCTGGTGGATTCAAACAAACCTCCAGAGAGACTCCACTTTGGGTTAGCAGCGCAACTTATGAACTACACCAAAGTATATAGGTAGTACATAAATAGTACATAACTAACAAAGTAAGTACAAAGCTTCTAACAACAACAAAGTCACAATAAACATGCTTTCAAATACTAGAAATCCAGCTCAGTATAATTACCAGAAAAGTATCAACTGGCACATCATCACCTTAGACTACAAAACTGGTTTACTCTTTCTGATAATAGAGCTCTAAGTTTCATTCTACATGAAATCAATTAGACCTGTACATAAATTACTTACATATTATTAATCAAATGTACCTAATTACATCTATAGTCTGATGGACCTCTAGTGACACAGTGGTCAAAGCATTCTACTACTCATTAGAAATCACCAGAAATCTCTTAGGAGAAGAACAAGGCCATCTGCTCTCTTAAAGATCTAGAGCCTTGGAAACCTTATGGGCAGTTCCACTTTGTGTCACAGTTTGCTATGAGCTAAAATCAAAATAGGCAGATTTATATCAAAGTTTAAAATGAAAGGCTATGTCTGCTTAACTGGCATGCTTCATAAATGCTGCAGCATCAACAACTCTACTTGCTGACAGTGAAAACTAAAAACCCTAAAACACACTATATATCGAAAAGCAGCATAAGGAATTTATGGCTAAACTTCTAACACCTCAATCCTGAGAAACAGTAATAAAATCTGACACTATGCTCAAGAAACCATTACCAGTTACAAGTGTCAACAGCATAAATGTTTAAGGAACATTTTCTATTCTAAATAGATGGTTTAAAATAACTCAATAGTTTTTGCTGTTATGTGCTGTCAAGTCACCTGCAACTCATAGCGACCCTATGTACAACAGCTCTGAAGCCTGCCCTGTGCTAAGCCAGTCTCAGACTCAGATACATCTAACCCCATTGCCCTAGTTACTGTATCGATCCATCTCATTCCAGGTCTTGCTCTTCTGCACTGTCCCTCCACTCTTCCAAGAAGCATAATGTTCTTCTCCAAGGATCAGTCCTTCCTGGCCACATGCCATAATACATGAAACAGAGATTCAAAATCCTAGCTTCCAAGGAGAAACTTAGTTTCACCCTTTCAAAGACAAACCTCTTTGTTATCTTGGCAGTCTACGACTCTTCTTCACAGTATAAAATTTTATTAGCATTATTAGAATTTGGCCTTATATCTGAAAGTTGGTAAACTAGATTTCCTTTGTTCAAATTTCTCTATCCTTCAATTTAGCAAATTCAGGTAAATATCAAGTGCATTAAGTTTTATAAATAATATACAGAAACACTTTGAGTCCAACAGCATTAATATTAATTAAAAAATCTTTCTAGTATAACAGCAATCTCCTAATTACAAAAGTTCTTTAAATGTGTAGAAATTTCAATAAATTAGTTCAAAAATATTTCTTAGTGAAGAATGTTTAACCAAACGGTAAAGATGAATCAAGAGGGGAATTAAAAAAAACACCTCAATTTGTTTTGTTTTGCTTTAAATAAATATTTTAATTGTGATTTTAACAACTTTATGGAAATGTTATATTTTGATTCATTCATTATTGCACATTTTACCCCCTCTCTCCCTTCCCTCCTGACTTTTTTAAAATACTAGTTTATTTACAAAATTCGAATACATTGTTTTTGAGAACAGAATCTTCCAATTTCCCTCACCCCACATCAAATTGTACAATTCCATGATTAAGCCCTCCCTGCACATCCTCATCCCTCTTTTACCCTCCTCCACCCCGCTTGGATCCTTATACTCATTCTACAATAATGGTTTTTATATTGCTTTTTTAATTGCTAATTCTTTCTTCTGTAAGATATTTTCCAATTTTATCTAGTAATTATCTACCTGTGTTTCACTGACTATGCAAAAGCAATTGGCTTTATGGATCACAACAGATTTTTCTGGCTAACCTTGAGGAAAATGGGAATCCCAGAGCACATGACTGTGCTTATGTGAAACCTATACTTGGACCAGGAAGCAGTCCTCAGAACAGAGAAAGGAAGCACAGCATGGTTCAAAATCAGGAAAGGAGTGCATCAGGGATGCATCCTGTCTCCACACCTTTTCAATCTATATGCAGAACAGATCATTTAGAAGCTGAGCTTTATGAAGTAGAATGTGTCATCAGAATTGTAGGAAGACTCATCAATAACCTATGTTATGGAGATGACACAACTTTGCGTGCTAAAACTGAAGACGACCTGAGGCACTTGCTGCAGAAGGTCAAGGACTGTAGTCTTCAATATGGATTAAAGCTCAACATCAAGAAAAGATTCTCACCACTGGGTTAAATGGTAGCATCATGATAGATGAAAAAGAGACTGAGGTTAACAGTTACAGCTTGCTTGGCTCCACAATCAACACTCTGCACCAACACCAGGAAATGAAAAGATGAATTGCATTGGGAAAAATCTGCTGTCCAGACTTTTAAAAAGCAACAATGTCAGTCTACAGACTAGGGTGCACCTAATCTAGGTCATGGTCTTCCCAATTACTTGCTATGCATCAGAAAGCTGGACAATGACTAAGGATGACAGAAGAATCGATGCCTCTGAGTTGTGGTGCTGGAGAAGAGTCTTGAACATACCATGGATTGCCAAGAAAACAAACAGGTTTATGTTGCAGAGGGTGAAACCAAGTTTCTCCATGGAGGCTAGGATTTTAAAGCTCCATCTCACATCTCTATGAGGAGACGTGTGGCGTCAGGATTGGTGAAAGATCTATTAACAATCTGCATTACGCAGATGACACAACCCTGCTTGCTGAAACTGAGAAGGACCTCATGCACTTGCTGCAGAGGGTCAAGGACTGCAGCCTTCAGTAAGGACTGAGGCTCAATGTCAAGAAGACAAAGATTCTCACCACTGGACCAGTCGGTAGCATCAGAATGGATGGCGAAGAGATTGAGATTGTTCACAACTTCAATTTGCTCAACTCCACGGTCAACACTCTTGACATCAGCAGCCAGGAAATCAAAAAACGTATTGCGATGGGAAAGTCTGCTGTTAGGGACCTCTCTAAAGTACTCAAGAGCAACGGTGTCTCTCTGGAGACGAAGGTGCGCCTGATACAGGCCATGGTCTTTGCAATCACTTGTTATGCATCAGAGAGTTGGACAATGACTAGGGAGGACAATTGACGCCTTTGAGCTGTGGTGCTGGAGAAGAGTACTGAATGTACCCTGGACTGCCAAGAAAACAAACAGATTCATCCTGGAAAGGGCTAAACCAGGCTGCTCCCTGGAGGCAAGGATTCTGGGGCTTCGCCTGACATACTCTGGACATGTTGTAAGGAGAGGTCTTTGGAGAAGGACATCATGCTTGGGAGGGTGGAGGGACAGCGCAGAAGCGGAAGACCCTCTATGAGGTGGATTGATTCAGTGACTGGGGTAATCGGGATGGGTGTATCAGAGGCAATGTGATTGGCACAGGATAGACAGGGTTTAGGGCTGTTGTACATAGGGTCACTATGAGTCGCAAACGACTCGACAGCACATAACAACAACATCTCACATACTTTGGGCACGTGGCGAGGAGGGATTGGTCCTTGGAGAAGGACATTATGCTGGTCCCTCCTTGCAACATGCCTAAAGTATGTCTGACAAAGCTTCAGGATCTTGCCTCCAAGGAGACCAGGGTATTTTTCTATACTGTTCTCCAGAACCACAGCTTAAAGGCATCAATTTTATCTTGTAACCAATTTTGAGAAGTATGTCTTATGTTGAAAGTAAACACTGTGGTGATAACAATCCAGATAATTTGAGCAAATCTAGTTTATTTAAGACACAAAGTCAAAATACTCTGCAGTACTCACACATTGTAAATACAAAGGATCCTAATTGTCCCACACTAAAGCCATTTCTCTCTTTACCCATTAGGTATAAAGAAAAGTATTCAAGAAACAGGAGAGAACAAGTGACTTGATTTTGAAGACTGAATATTATCTTCAATTTTCCTCATTAAAAAGTAAACATGGAGCATCTCCCACTGAATTTACTAACTACTAAATAAAACCATCATCACAGATCTCAGAGTGAAAATGACCTATAATGAAAACTTAGCAGTTAGGAAAGCTGTTTTCCAAAACATGAAATGCTCAATATTATTCTCCCATACATAACATTAGTGGTGGTAGGGGCCATTGTTACTATTGCTGTTGTTGTGGAACCAACTCACAACCCTCCAGCAGGTTTTCAGAGGCAGTAAATCACACAGAAGGAGACTACCCATCTTTCTCTCATGGTGCAGCTGGTGGATTTGAACCACATACCTTTTCACTGGCAGCTCAATCCCCAACTTCTAAGCCACCAGAGCACCCAGACTAGTGGTAGATATGGCCAAATAATTCATGAATTTAAAAGACTTCACATGCAAAGTAGTTTCTTGATAGTTTACTAATTGTACATACATGTTATTTTATGTGGGAAATTATTTTTAAAGGGGTGCTATGATAAACATCACCTATCTTAAAAATTCAATCCAGACTTTTATGCTACTGTATAAGAAATCTTAATATACAGAAATTAGCCAACAGAATATTCACAATTAGAAATAGAAAATTTATTTCATTTCCGTTCATTATATCCTTAAATACTCCCAAAACAATTTAGTGGAATTAGTACCTGGCTTTTCTGTACTACAATCAGCCAAAAATCAAAACAAAAAAGAACAATAAAAAGAAAATTTTAAAAATCTATTCAATTTAAAAAACTCATTATTCCTATAATCTAATTTTTTTCAAATTATGTTAAAAGTTACCTGCTACATTATACAGAGGAGTGCTTTATTTGCTTTTTCTTTTTTTGGCAGAATTTTTCAATCTCAGAATTAAGAATATAAAATGTTCATTTTGCTTCTCCTGAACAGCTCTACTCTACAGTAATTCTTTATTTAAAAATCCTTTTTTTAGGGGGTAGAGGAAGTCAAGTGAATTCAGAATGTTTTATTTATCTAGAGCAAATGCCAGCCTGTCTTGTCCTTACCCAAATATCAGCCTTAGTGGTGATGGGTTTCCCTCCATAAAGGTTGATCATTTCAGGGGCTCTGTATGACAGTGTCGTATACCTGGTAGCAAATAATTGAAATGGAGTGGAGATATTATAAAAAAAAAAAAAAAAAAACCAAACAGAGGACACTCAGAATTCTACATTGATTCTATATAAACTACTACAAAAATGTTAGATTCCATATCATTACATTAGAATTAATACTACATTTAAAGAGTCATTAAAAGTCTAACAATGATCTAACAATCTAAAAGGTCATATAGACATTTTTAATTAGCAAGTACATCAGCACCTACAATGGTAAAATCATCTCATTTTATTTATTTCCTATTAGAAACACTTTAAATAATTGCAATGCATAGTTTCCCTTTTACTTCTCATTTAAAATACTATTAGTCTTCTTATAAAAATATTTTAGTCCATTAATTTAAAACTAAAACTTCTACTCTCTTAAATAACTAATTCATTTTTAATACTTCAATATACATCCAAGAGATTTGCTTCTATAATTGGCATTGTTTTAAAAATAATCTAATTATCATAATTCTTACTAACAATAATAGTGACATATACTTCTATATCCTGATTGCATACTTGTAACTAAAAGATACTATGAACAAATAAAAAAGAGTGCTGGTGGTATAGTGCTTAACCTGTCAGAGTGCTAACTGAAAAGGTCTGATGTTCAAACCCACCAAGAAGCCTAGGGAGAAAGCTGAGCTGCCTACTCCCATAAAGATTTAGATGGAGACTATGAGCTGGACTTCACTTGATAGTGATAGGTATAAATAAATACTTATAAATATCAAAAACTCTAAATCGATTATAATGAAGAAGTATTCAAATTTCAAGGCAGGATTATCAGAATATGGATGGCCTTCCTATAATGGCATAATCTAAGATTCATTCTGTATGTTTATACTCTGGCCCTTCTTAAAAACAATGTCTCTAATGCCTCACCATTCTACTCCTGGCACTTTCTAAATTATCTGGACTAGTGAGCCATTCTGAATAACCGATAACAGTAATGCGGAATAAGAGCCTAAGAAGCCAGAATATAAGTGTCCCAAGGACAGGACTTTTGATTTGCTCACTGTACTCCAGGGCCAAGAATAATGTTTTCTAAATTATAGGCACTGGATAAACACATATCAATCAAATAAACAGTTATCCTCTTAACTCTTCAAATGACCTACATAGTACAAGAATCCTCATAAACTTGAGGTCATCACTTAACGCAAATCCAAATAACTTTATGTCACTAAGAATTTAAAAAAAATTCTATCAAGTCAGAGAAACTTAAGTAGGATTTGACAGCAGCTATTACTATAATTCCTTAACTTTTTAAAAATTTTAGGTGCACACACAGATCCCCAAGGAGCCAATTCAATAATTCACTGTCCTGTGTTCTTTAAGGCATCTGTATGTTTAATGAAAAGTGTTTGTTTGTTTGCTTGCTTGTTTGTAAAATCCAACATAACCATGATAGGATGATACAAATGGGCCAGAATAATCACAGCTCTGTTTGAATACTTTCAGAAATGCAATAGGTCAAATTTTAGCTCATCCACAGTCTTAAACAATTATAAATTTGTGAGGAAGCAATGAAAGGCAACATGGAAATAAAAAAACCAAACAAAGACTTAGACAATTCTAATAGATCTTTATATATTCTGTTTCATCTCATAAATGTAATCTAAGATTTAAAACAATTCCATTTGCTAAAACGGGAAAACAAATCGGGAAAAGGTCCCCAAAGAACTCTTGACAAGCATTAAATAAATACTAAGCAGGTATGGTATGCATTTCTACCACAGAATTTTCTAGTATACTATTAAAAACATCAAAGTACCATAGTCTTTACATTTATGTTTTCCATGCATAGCAGTCTTCTTAATATGATAAATATGAAGAGCACAAATGTCTTCAAATAACTTAAATTTAATTTTTCCAGTAATTAAGCACAAATCTGCAGTATCAGTAAAAATACAGATGTTTAAACTATATAATCACTTTAAACTTCCTTTAATGATGCCACTGATTACAACAGCTTATAGAACAAATTTCTTTATAAACCTCTTTCCAGAGTACATTATGTTAAAAAAAAACCACACCCCAACACCAAAACTGCTGGGTCTGTGGTAAAAATGTATTTTGTTCCTGTTTAGCCAGATGTACATTAATATTACTCTTTTTTGCAGTAAAGAAAACTTTAAAAAATTCTATAATTGCAGTATCTACAATGTGTATTGGAAAGCTGGTCAGACTCAAGCTAACTAAAATTCTGATGAGAAAAAGTTCAACTTACTTTTTAATTTCTTCTTCTACTATATTTACTCCATCTTTTTGAGGATTATGAAATTTATTAGTGGCACTGCCAAAGTCACAAAGTACATAGTTTCCATTATCATTCAACAAAATATTTTCTACCTGAAGGGGGAAAGGAAAAAAATCACCAGTTAGTATTATGTTCAACAGAGAAATTACCTTTTTTTTTTTGCCATTTTTATTGTATACTGCTTTGCATCCAAAATTCATATACACTGTGTTTCATACAATCATTCACATACACTGTTTTATAAAATTCATCCCCACTGAATTATGCTCACCATTATCCCATCTTTCCAGGTCCCCACTGGATCCTTCCCATTTCCTTTACCCCCCCTTTCCACTCACCAAACTGTGTTTCCCTGTGATTTCCCCCCTGCCCATCCTCACTCCTCAGCTCCCACCCTTATCCTCTTAAGTGCCCATACACATTTTACTAGTTATCCTTCTACTTTTACAATAATGGTCTTAGAATTATCTTTTTACAACTATGATTTTATGTAATAAAGAGTAAAATGGTTTCTACCACACAAATATACATCTAAGACACCTGAAATTATGGTGAGAAACAATGAACCTGAATGTACTATGTCTGCTATTCCTCCTTCTATGAGCAAGGAAGTGTCTTTCTCACTCTCCAGAGTATGCTCAAAGTATAGAATGAGATCAATATTATCAAGTAGAGTCCAACTGATTTGACTCTACTTTTCTCCTTTTATAACATATCCACTATTATGAACAAATAATTTTAAAAACCATCTAAATTTAACATCTGATTAGCTCCTAAAGCTATTATATATAAAAATACTAGAATAAAGAACACAAGCTTAATTTTATGCCTTAACTCAAAAAAACCAAACTGTTACCAAGTCAAGGCTGACTCACAGCTGGCCCTCCAGTAAACTCTGGTGGCGCAGTGCTAAGAATCTGCACTGCAATCCCAAAAGCTCCTGGTTTGAATCTACCAGCTGCTCTGAAGCAGAAACATGGGCAATCTCCTCCCAAACAATTTACTGCCTCTGAAAACTTTCAAGAGGGGACAGCAACAGGTCAGTTTTGACTCAACAGTAAACAATTAAAAAACACATCACACAGGGAGTTCTGGTGGCCTAGTGGTAAGAAGCTGTGTTGCAATCCCAAAGGTAGTTGGGTCAAATCCATTTGATGCTCCTCAGGAAAAGGACTGAGAAATCCCCTCACGTGTGATTTACTGCCTTAGAAAACCCACCAGAGGGTCAGCTATGAGTCAGTTCCAACTTAATACACACAACAACAAATCGCCCAGGAGGAAATTACCCATATTCCTCCTGTGGAGTCGCTGGTGTATTTGAGCCTCCAGAAACGCACCATCTTTGGGCCTATTGACTACGCCACCAGAGCTCCATATGTCTTACCTGTTGTTATTATTGTTGTTGTTATGTGCTGTAGAGTCACCTGCAACCCATAATGATGCTATGGACAGCAGTTCTGAACCGCATCCTGTTCTGAGCCTCTCTAACTAACTCCAACATACTACTGCCCCAGTCACTCTATCAATCCATCTCATCCAAGGTCTTCCTCTCCTGCGCTGTCCCTCCACCCTTCCGAGCATGATGTTCTTCTCTAAGGACTGGTCTTATCCTGGCCACGTGTCCAAAGTATGTGAGATGGAGCTTCAAAATCCTAGGCCCCAAGGAGAGACTTGATTTAACCCTCTCCAAGAGACACTTACTGGTTTTCTTGGTGGTGCATGGCATGTTCAAGACTCTTCTCTAGCACCACAACTCAAAGGTATCGATTCTTCTTCTGTCATCCTTAGTCATTGTTCAAGTCTCTGAAGCTTAACAAGTAATTGCAAAGACCATGACCTGGATTAGGTGTTCTTTAGTCTCTAGACTAACATCATTGCTTTTCAGCACTCTGGATAGGTCCCTGACAGCAAACTGTCCCAATGTAATTTGTCTTTTGATGACGAGAATTGTAGTAACTAAAATAAATCAGCAACACATTTTCCTCCAAAGACAGGTGGTAGATGCATATCAAGTGCTCCTATCAGGAATTGAATCAGGGTCTTCAGCATGAAAGGCACATATCCTTAGAAAGAGACATCATGTTTGAAAAAGTGGACGGTCAGGGAAGGAAGGAAGGAAGGAAAGACCCTCCACAAGATAGATGAGCATAGTGACTGTAACAACGGATGCTAGAATATCAGAGATGATAAGGATGGCAAAGGATAGCACAGGACTCCATGATCTGTTGTTCAGAGTCACCATGACTTGTCCTCATAGGATCACTAGGAAATGTACTCAACAGCACATAACAGCACCACCTAATAAACCAATTATGTGCACAGTTTCTAGATAATTTAACCCTTTCAAAATGTTCACACTGAATTTTCTTTACTGGTGTCTTCTCAGTTGCTCAAAAGAATGTGATACAGAAAACAGTTTATGAAAATAGATAGTCCTAAATAGCGTAATGCTTCATTCTTAGCTTCCTAGACTATAAGATACAGAAAAGTATAATTATCTTGCCGAGTTGCTGAGATTAAATATTAAACAATGCTTAGAAACAGTCAAAACAAACACTTTTCTTATTTTACATTTTTTTCTTCTATAGTCATTCTGGTACTGTTAGGTACTTGAAAATCCATTTTAATTCACAGCCACTCCACATGACAGAGTTCTTAACTGTTATGTTTATGGAAGCAGCTCACCAGGTCTTTCAAGCACAGATGTGGTTGCTGGATGAGTTTGAGCCTGCAATCTTTGGTAACAACTGCATGCTTAATGTTCTTGTACCACTAGAATTCCTTATATTTCATTTTACTGACTTTTTACAAATGTTTGAACATAAATGCCTGTTTGAAAGAAAAGAACTAAACATGAGAAATATTAACTGTGCAAAATCAGACAGTTGAATTGTAATGCCTTCTTGAGTTTTAACTTAAGAGAATATCAAATTATTAGAGAAAAAAGAAAAAAGTTTCATATATAAGAGAACTGATAAGCGCTATTCTGGTGATCTAAGGGACTCAATTCTGTAGAGATAAACGCCAATTCTCCTTTAGTTTGCCACCTTTTACCACATAGTTCCCTACACTGTGCTTTCATGGCTAAAGTGACAGGAAACAGTGACATCTTCTTTTAAATTCTGACAAGATTTAGTAAACTATTTCCATAAAGATGAAATTACCTTTAGAACCTCCCAAATTATAGGTAAAGAGACTCATTTATAGGTCCCCTCTAACATCTCCTGAAAACACCCTGGTATGGACAACAGTAAGTAGAAATAAAGCTAGTGAAAAATGACTGAAGTCCCCTGAACCTGTACCAGTGATGTGCACATTCTATTCAAAACAAAAGGACAGATTTCTTTCCTCATATAAAACTTGCAAAGAAGTCAACTACATAAAAAGAGAAGGGGCACAAAGGTCAACTCTATGATCATATGCTGGGAACCGCAGTTTTACAGAAAGCACAGTTTTAAACATGGAGTCGGTCTTCTTTTTTTTTTTTTAGAGTCGGTCATGACCACAGGAAATGCAGCAGCAGAGAGCCACTAATCTCAGTAGCAGAAATAAAGCCTTGTTTATATGAAAATAGTCCAACAACATTTTCATTCCAAAATTTCAATCTTTTTACTAAGCTGAAAGTGGTCTCAAAGCTCACCTTCAGATCTCGATGAATTATTGGAGTCTTACATTGATGCAATCGTGCAACAGCTTCACACGTATCACAGAATATCTGCAGCACTTCAGATTCCGTAAATCCTGTCTGCAGCTTCTTGTTCATCTCATTCACTACCTGACCGGCTAACCAAAAAGATAAATCTGAGAAAGCATTTTTTTCAAATTAAAATGTATCACAAAGAAAATAAGACATGTGTCCATGGTCTCTCAGATAATGGGAAGTACATCTTTCATAATTCAGAAGGTGGCTTATTATACTTTATATTAGTAACTCAGAAGCACTTTTTCCCCACTCCACATTTTTTTACATTTCAGAGATCACAACATCTTGAGATAATGTTCTGCTAATATTACTGGATTAATTTTTAGCATATTAACATCTCTGAAATGAGAATGTACCTTATAAACATCAGCATCTTATATTTGCTAGAAGTTTTCAAAACTGTTAGTTATTGCATAAACAATGACGAACAAAAATCAGTTTCTAATTATCACGGAATTTTTATTCTTTAGGTAAAGAAACATTCAATAATCAAATAAATACATAATCATAATTACACAAAATAATATAACATTTTTTAATACGGTAGGGCTACATTTAAATTGGAGAAGAAAAACTGAAGAGGAAGGAGGTAGACAAGAAGAACGAGTACTATTTATGTTAAAACTAAAGATTAATTAACAAGGCAGAGAAAGAAAATCTCTGCTGTCAAGCCCCTTCTGACTCATGTAGGCCTTGTATGTTCTAGAAAGGTCCAATTCATAGGATTTTCATGGCTGAATTTTAAACCTCATTTGGAGACTCATGTGTGAAGTTGTCTGGATTCTGAAAGGTGTTCTGTTTGAAGGCAGGGTATGGACTGTTTTATGTGTTTTTATTTCATTCACAATCATGTGAGCTGATTTGATTTGTTGGATTTAACTAACAATGAGCTGTGGACTGGACATGTGGTGTGTGGGCCTGGGTATTTAAAAGTCCGTTGGGCCCGAGGGTGGTAACTGTGTTTGGTACAAACACTATTCTACATGGTACAGCACTGGTTTGTCAACACACAGTACTGAGGTAACTTGGGGGTGCTGTGATACTGAATGCTGTGCCACTGGTATGTCAAATGCCAAAAGCCAAAAGGATCACCCATGGTGGACAGTGTTTGTGGAGTTCCCAGATTGAGACAGGTTTGGAAGCAGGAGTGGCATCCAATTCCTAAAGAACATGCCTCTGGAAACTCTATGAACTTAGAGAAACAGCAATACTTATAGAACAGGTTCAGGTCTTTTGTTCATAATGTTGCTATGAGTGGTGCTCAACTCAAAGGTACTTAACAACAACAATCTTAAGGGGCGCTGACTGTCAAGTTTTCTTCTAGGATACCACTGGATGGATCTGAATCAATGAAATGACCTTTAGGTTAGTAGTTGAACACAAGCTGTTTGGAAAATCTAGGAGCCTAATACAAACAGAACAGACAGAAATGTGAAAAAAGAACATCAGCAAATAACATACACACTTGTCTCTTGCCTGACAAAAAGTTTCTCAACTTTGAGTAATTTTTTAAAAAGTCAGTATGTGTTGTGTGTATATATGTAATAAAAGAGTTAACTACTAGCTAAATAGGTTAAGGGTTAAGCTGCTAACCAAAAAGTCAGTGGTTTAAACTTATAAACTGCTCCATCGAAGAAAGGTAAGACAAGATAGTCCTGTAAATGCTTTCAACATCAGAGCATGACGGGGGCAGTTCTCTTCCGTCTTATAGGGCAGCTATGAGTCAGAATGGAAGAAGCAGAAAGAAAGGTCTATGTTATTTTTGTTAGGTGTCGTTGAAGACAGTAGAACTGACTCATAATGACCCTATGAACAACAGACCTTTATCTTACCCTATCCTGTGCCATCCTCACCAAATCTGATATACTTGACCCCATTCCTACCATCACCAAGTTAATCTGTATTATTGTGTCAATCCATGTTATTGGGGTCTTCCTCTCTTTCACTGACCTTCCACCTTTCCAAGCATGATATCCCTTTCCAAGGAGTAGCCTCTCCTAGCAACATGCTCAGGGTATGAGTGCCTCAGCTTCACCACCCTTGCCTCCAAGGAGCTCTCTTGTTGCATCCTTTCCATGATACATCTGTTTGTTTATCTGGCAGTCCATAGATATTCAGCACTCTTTTCTCAACACCCCACCTCAAAACCATCAATTATTCTCCTGTTATTCACTGTCCAATTCTCAGATGTATAGCAAATAACTGAAAAGACCATAGCCTGAATCAGGGATACCTGAGTCTTCAAACTGACATCATTGAACTTCAGTATTTTGAAGAAGTACGGAAAAGTAGGATATGAAAAGAGATTGACAAAGCAGAAAAGGATGAGAGTGACAGTTTAGATTTATCTCAATAAATAAGGATACTTCTTGACTGAACTTTTTAAAAGATCTCCCTTATTAGAACAGAGGAGGATGAAAGATTGGAAACAGATCAGTTAAAAGACTAATTCTCTAGACAAAGTAAGAGATAATAAAACATAGGAATTTACTTAATCTAAATACTCAAACATATCATTGAGCCTGAAGAGAATTATTATGTGTTAAAATATATTAAAAGGATTGATAATCAATTAATGATAATTCTTATTTATCAAGAAAAAATTAACCAACCTCATATTTTCAGAGTATTCTGATACAAATGACATTTGAGAATACAAAAAAGTAGGTTTATATTAACTTGAAACTTTCCTTTATTAAGCTGAATCAATGAATGAAGAGCTGCTACTGTGACAAACTAACAGGGTTCATGCACAATCTGTTCCTAATTAAATAAATATTAAACTTTGGTCTCTTCTGAATTTATTTTTTGGATTTTTTTTTTTACTTAGAACCTTAAAGCATAAAGAACATTAAAATTTGCCAAATAACTAATTCTCAGCTTTCAGAACCATAAGTTCCCTTCAGCTAGCTCTTGGTTACCTAACAGCTCTTTCTTCTACCCTGTGTTTGTCAGATTCTCTGAGTCTGTCTTTCCTTAAATTGGTTTTTACTAAAAATTAAACAAGTTGAAAAATACTTCCTTCGTGTTCAATCATCTGATTTAATAGCTAAAATCGTAACTTTGAAAGCATTCCAATTCTTTCAAACTTTCCACGTTGTAATCAGAAGAGGAATTTTTAAACAAATGTTACTTCTCTTCTTCCATGCAGAGATCTCTCTGGGCCAAAAAAAGCTGAATAACAAAACTCAAATCTTTGGAAAAGAGTAAATAAATACAGTATTTATTTAAATCATATTGTTCTGTAGTTTCCACACTCAGTTGGGTCACCCTTCATTGGGATGGGAACAAATATAGATCTCTTCCAGTCAGTTGGCCAAGTGGTTGTTCTCCAGATTTCTTGGCACAACTTGGTGA